TCGACATAGCACCTTCATCGGACCTCCTGGAACGGGCCGCCATAGGCGAAGCTGGCGCAGGTGCATACCCACTGCGCTCGAAAGCTGCCGCCTTTTTCGCAATGGAGCTGCTGCGACTAGGCGGGCGTCTTCGTTCCTCCATAGGGTCCTGAGGTTGCTGCTTGGGCTCAGACGCTTGCGTAGGAGTTGCGCCAATCGGCGGCCTCGGAGTTTCAGTTCGAGGCACCTCCATCTGCACGTCTGGCCCAGGGTCCTGAGGGCTCGTCTTCGGTTTCGGCACCGAGGACGGCTTAGGCGTCGGGGGTTCACTCTTAGCCTTCGAAGTTAGTGGGAGTGGGGGCTTCGTAGCCCCCTTCATGTAGATCTTACTAGAATCCTCCAACATCTTGCGGGTTGCCTCGCGGGTGCGTTCTTCTGCTGTCCGCATACGCTCCTCGTCCTCCGCCACACGTTGAGCCTTCTTCTCGTCCTTGATTGTCGGTTCTGGTTGTTGGGACTGGCTAGAGACGCCAGGCGAGTTTCCTCGCATACTAGGAAGACTAAAGAGCGCGTCTTTTTCTTCCTGGGTCGTGGCTACCAGTCCCCTTGGAACAGGAGTAGGCTTCTCTTCTTCTTTCGGATCCAGGTGGCTCAAGATCCCGTGACGACGATTCACTTCTGCGATCTCGTCCTGTGTCATCGGGATAAGTTGCGGATGGCCCTCTGTATGAGGGGTTTTGCCCCTGTTGGGGCTCAGGCCTTCGTTGTTGCCAACGGGGCACCCTGGCCTGTGGTTCTGGAACGGCTCGGAACAAGGTCCGCATGCTGCGTGAGGCCTATACTGCTTGCGCGCCGCGATAATGTCTCGCAGCTGAGTCCGCGCTGCCTTGAATTTCAGGGCGGCGGATATTTGTTGCAAGCTGATAGCCTCCGCGGATGGCCTTGCCATCACTGTCCCCATAGGCAGGGTTGCCTTTGCCGAAGGCCGAGTGTTCCCCTTTTCGGCGTCTTGGGTCGTTGTGCGGAAGTAGCTGGCCACCTCTCCTCAGAGCGTGTTCTTTTGGGCCAGCCTGCCTCCACTCACGAGGAAGTCGAGCCTGTGGATGTGGCTCTTCTCTGACGCGCGTATGGGAACGAGACCTTCTGGCGTTCTCATCAGAAGAAGCTGCCGAAGCAGCAGGAGCGGCACCCGGTGGAGGTGCCTGAGGAGGCTCCTGTGCGATCCCAGATGGATCGTCCGATGGAGGCAGGTCTCCCTGCTGGATGGAGCTCGGCGCAAATGGCGCTTGTGCCGATGGTGATGATGATTCAGACCCGTCAGGATCGAAGTCAACCTCTTCCTCACCATTCACGTCCATGAGGATGGTGACGTCATCCTCATCTAGCCCGCAACCATCGCCTTCAACTTCTTCTGATGTCGAACTACCTCTGATGATGGCCATTGGCGTATCTGGTACAGGCAGGTTTCCCTGCATAGCCGGCGTCTGTGCGTCGCTCGGCTGTCCCGGGGTAGGAGGCGCTGTTGTCGGCTCAGGCTCGTTGCCGAGCACAGGCTGCCCGGCAATATTGCGCATGGCCGTATGGTTTGGCCACATTCCCACCGCCTGGAGACCCCATCCTGGCGGAGGAAGATCATGGCCGCGCATAGCAATAGCCATTTCTAGAGCATTACGCCATCTACCACGGGAGTCTATCAAGTGTCTCTGCACGTCCTGAGGATGCACGCTGTCAATGAGAGTCAGAGCTGCCAACAACAGCTCTGAGCTACCACAAGCATCAGTATCCTGCATTATCATAATGTCAGCTTCGATACGTTCTTGACTCTCAGGATAACCAGTAATAAATATCTCATGCATCCTCATGAGGGTCTGCAAAAGGGTGCGTGGTCCATATTCGCCTGGAGCAAGCGAACCAGGAGGCATAAACGGAGTATCTGGTTCGCCTGCAATGAAGGCCTGAACAAATGCCTGAGACTCCATTTCAATTAAGTCTTCAGTGGTCTGGGGATATTCCCCCATCAAAGACGGCCTGTTTCCAGGCGGGATTTCGGGCGGAGGTTCGAGGTGTCGTTGAACCTCGGAAGGCGAAGCCTCTATAGTGGTGTCCTCGTCGCTACTCTCGTAGGCCATGATGTTGCCTGGGTTCCCGAACATCCAGTCGAAGAAAGAAAGAGGCTGGTTTCCCAGCGTACCGTGATCCACGGGAGTGAGCTCGTCATTGCCAATAACGAACCAGCGGACGTACTCGAGGTAGTACGCGTACAATCCATGACCATACGCCTCGAGCTCGTCGACGTTGTCCATGCCAACAACCCAAGTGAAAAATATCTGCTCCATAGCCTCAAAGTCCTGGAGGCTCAGATACTCAATGGATGGTTCACTTGAGCCAAAATGGACTTCGGTCGACCTGCCCTTTCCATTTCCCTTCACTGGACAATCTCGCACAAGATGATCGGAACTACCACATTCATGGCATTCAAGAACCTGGCCGTCTCTACCTCGCGGGTTTCCCCGCCTACCTTTGCCTTTTCCTGAGGTTTCTCTACGGCCTTTACCACGGCCTTTTCCCCCAAAGAATATCTAATCATGTTGTTCATCTGAGAGCCTCTGAAGAAATGCCGCGATGCCTCGTCCGTTCAACCTCCGACGACCTCGCTTACCTTTACCTTTTCCCTTAAAACTTCTCCGCATCCTCCTTCTAACACGACGCACTGGTTTTCGTGTGAACCTCCTCCACCTTCGTTTAGCTTGTTGTAGTAACCAGAACAAATGTTCAGCACGCTGATTGTCGCTATCCATATTCAAGATATCTGACCAATCTAGAGCTCCAACACCATCTGATGATATAGTGTCTGTATCGGTGCCGGAGTCGAAATCCTCGTCTCCCAAGTAGGTGGATACACCGTCGGTTAGGGGGTTTGATTTCCCCCATAATGAGCGGTGTGGTTGTGGTTCTCTAGAAGGAGGGCTGGTTGCCCAGCTTGGTTGTGATCGATCCCCTGCTAATGAAGCAGTGGATTCTCCTGGGTCATCGGCCCATATGTTTGAGGGCCCGTTTCCAGGCTGGGCTTCAGTAGTCAAGGTAGTGTAGAAATTTCCACTACCAGATCCCCTTCCCCTTCCAAACACAGATCCTATGTTACCAGGAGACCGTTCAGATAGGTGGCCTATCGAACGCATCCTCTCCAGCAACTCATCATACTGTTGTTGTGTTCGGGGCATTTGGTGATTGAGTGGCTGTAAGAGTTGCATGGCTCGCTGGTTGCCGACGCCTAAGGCGCGGAATAGGATAGTGGTTAGCAGTTGGAAGTTGGGAAGGTCGAATCCCACCGACTGTGCCTCAAGTCGGGCCATTTCGAATCGGGTAAGGGTGACATCGATTCGTTCCCCGTGAGGCACGTGGAAGTCGATGAGTTGTGTGCCGGAAGTGAGCTGTCGCTCATCTTCCAGGCGTTCGAACTTCATGCTTAGGAGGAACATGATGTAGGTCACTGGGTCTGTGTGGACCCCATCGATGTCAGCACCATAGTTTATAATGTCAGGCGGTACCCTCATGGCGAGTGTCCTCGCTAGGCCACCTAGGCCGCGTTGTATTGCGGCCGTTTGGGCCTGTGGCGTCATACGTCCGCTTGTAACGTTGAGCCATGCGTTGACCTCGTAGATGTACTCACGAAAAGGTACATTACCTTGAGGGTCCCAATATGGGCCATGTGTTTGCCCATCGGTGCTGTTTTCTCCACGACGCATGTGTCCGATTGCTGCCCCCAGCGCGAACCATATAATAGCGAAAACGACTAGCCCGAGAATGTGTAGAGAAGGACGGTTATGATGCGCGCTGTCGCGCTGGGGTAGCGCCTTGTCGAGTCTTCGAGGCGCTCTGTCTGGCGGGTCTCCCCGCCCCTGCTTCAAGCATTGCGCTGTTAGCTCGTTGCCGAGCGGTTGGTGGTAACGCAATGATGAAGCGTATATGGTACCAGTCTGGTCGTCTAGACGTCGTACCTCTCGTGTTGCTTCTTGCTCTTGGATAGATCCTCGTAAACGTACTGGGAGTGGTAGCGCAGGTTGGTAGGTGGTCACGAAGATCGTGCCGAAGAGTATGAGGCTAAGAAGAGCAAGAGCTGACCACACGAGAGTGCGGCCAGCTCCGCTACCAAGTCGAAAGTGAGCCTGGTAACTCAAATAGCATCCGATTCCATGATAGACATCGGATGGCGAATAGCGTCCATCGCTCTGCTGTGATAGTACAGTATGAGGGGTGGACGGATAAGATAGGATAAGATCGATGTAATGATCTTTCCAGCACGTAGCGAACACTCGCGGTGTCCGGGCAAATAGGGCGCGCGTGCCTTGGGCCAAAGGCAACGGCGCGCGCGAGCTATGCTCCCGATACTATAACATCTCCCAAAGACCTACCCTTAAAGTGCATCATCATCATCGTCATCATCAGCATCACCATCGTCATCAACATCGTCATCATCATCGTCAGCATCAGCATCCTCATCATCCTCATCATCATGATCAACATCCTCAGCATCATTCATCATCATCGTCATCAGCATCATCAGCACCATCTTCGTCGTCGTCAGCATCATCATCTGCTCATCAGCATCATCATCATCAGCATCATCGTCATCACACTCAGCATCATCGTCATCAGCATCATCATCAGCATCATCATCAGCATCATCATCATAATCACCATCATCATCATCAGCATCACAGCATCAACATACGCATCATCATCACACCCATCAGCAGCACCATTACCGCCATAGACATCAGCATCGTCAGCATCATCCTCATTATCCTCCTAATCCTGGTCGTCATCATCATCATCATCATCATCATCATCATCATCATCAACAGCATCAGCATCATCAGCAGCATCATCAGTATCATCATCATAATCATCATCATCAGCATCATCGTCATCATCGTCATAGTCATCGTCGTCGTCGACCTCCTCCTCCTCCTCCCTCCTGCCCCCTTTCCGACTATGGACGGACCCCCCACGCGGCCCACCAGCGCCGCGAACCCAGCACAGCAAAGGCCGCGTCGGGCGAAGCCGCGCAGCACCGCCGTCTTCATCTCGGGGACTCGGCCGATGAGGGCGATCCACGACTCCTGGAGGACCCACAGACAGATACAATATACACGAACAAAAATCGCTGAGTATCCGAAAGTGCCCCAGGGCCATCAGGGAATAAGAAACCTGCGTGGGGCAGCTGATGGCAGGCTGGCTTCTTGTTTGCTGGGCCTCCTATGGACAGACAGAGCGGGCTGACAAGGCCTGGTGCTGCCAGAGAAGGGAGGCAGAAAGAACGTCATCAACACAAGCATTCGGAGGTCCACGCGGAGCTCTCGGGTCGGCGCTGGACCCCCCTCCCCCAGCGCGCGAAGCGCGCCAGGGTCGACGCCGGAGGCGGGGCCAGCGGGGGACCTGTGCCGACCCAAGAGGTGCGCGCGGGCCTCCCGAAGTTGTTGCTTGTACATTCTTTTTCGCGAGCGGAGCACGTATCCAAATCCACTCCCTCGCGATCAGGCTTCCCCCGGCACGATCCCGTGGATACGCGATCGCACGGATGATTCCTGCGCGGGGCAGCCGCGAGAAGCGCCGCTTGTATCCGCGGGGTCGCAGCCTGGGGGCCTGGCCCGCGAGGCCGTGGACACCAACGTCATGTTTCCCGCCCACGTCCTGGCTTCGTCGGCAAAGACACGGCCCCCCGAGGTAGCCCTGGCAGGCCTCAGACAGAACCCCGAACGATGGCCCCCTCGAGGGACGTCCTCGGCACACCCCGCGCCTCCTCTGGCAGTGCTCTCCATGGAGCGCTCCAGGCCTGGATGAAGGGGAACAGGGACACACGAATAGATAGACACAAATCACCAGATCCCCCATAGTTTCCCATATTCTCCGGGTCTCTGTCTTCCCCCCCGCTTCCCATATTTTCCCATATTTTTTTCCTGGGGATCGACGATGAATTGTGTCTCTGTGTTTTTTCCCCTCCTGACTTCCCAGTTCTCGGGCGCCGCGCCCTTCACGGGGTCCAGGCACTCGGCGGCGAGCCCGGGACGGAATCCCAGGGCAGGCCTGCTCAGCGGGGCTGAACCTACACGGTGTTCTCCGTTTTCGTGCCGTTTTCGTTCTCCCTCGCTTTTGTCTCGAGTCTAACCAGCCTCGAACCTATCCCTATCCCTAAGATGGGCGAGCAAAAATCGAGGACAATCTTAGGGACAGGCCCTCAGAAACTGGGGGAATCCTTACGATCGGCATCGAGGTGAGGTGATGTCAAACATAGGGATAGGGATATGCTTCAAACTGGTAAGAGTCCGCCCTTTCCGCAGAACGAAGTCGAAACGAAAGCGGCCCACGAAAAATCGCCGAAAACACCGTCCGTCCAGGTCCAGCCCTGCTGCTCAGAGGGCGGCGGCTCTCCTCAGGAGCCCTCCCGCCCTCTGAGGAGCCGTCTGCACCCTCGGGGGCCGGAGGCCCTCTTGAGGCTTCTGCGGGGGCCAGCCACCTCTCGCCTTCCCCCCTTGGCTCGTCACCTGGAGGCCTCCTAATTGGGGTCGGAGCAGATGGGGTCGGAGGATCGCGCCGCATCGGCGATGCACCGGCGATGCATCGGCGATGCATCGGCGACGTATGCATCGGCGACGTCCGCATGAAGCAAATCGGGCTCCACATCGAGCCGCGTCGGCGAGGCATCGGCGATGCGGCGCGATCCTCCGACCCCCTCTGCTCCGACCCCACCTGGGAGGCCTAGATCGCCTGAGAGCGCTCAGGGAAATTCACGAGCTGGCCCCGGCCGGGGGCCGGACCTCCGGCGGCCCACGCTGCGCAGAAGAGCCACGCCGCCTGCGGAGGCCTGGAAGGGGGGTGGCCGCCCGTGCGCAGCCCTCTGCCCTGCCAGCACGCCCGCGGGGGCGAGGAGGACCCGCCCGCCCTGGGCCGAGCTCGGTCGTGGAGGGCGGCGGTGCGAACAGGGTGCAGGCGGGAGGGAGGGCCGAGAGCGCCAGCTCCTGGTCTTCCCAAACCTGGCCTTCCTCCTCCTCCCGGTGCCTCGTCCATTTCTCCTTCCCGCTCACCCTCCCCCGCCTCCCTCCTCCACTCTCCCGCTTCTCTCCATGCCTCCCTCCTTCGTTGCTCCGGCGCCTCCCCGAGCTCATCCTCCCGGTGTTCTGCTTCCTCCCAGCTACCCCCCCACCATCACCCTCCTCCTTCTCCTCATTACCCTCCTCGTTCCCCATCCCTCCCTCCTTCCCTCATGTTCAATTATTCAATTCCTCTTTCTCACTGCTGAAGGCGCAGATACAGCGCTAATTCAGAAGTCCACGTGGTTGACCAGCAGCTGAGCGATCCTGGCCGACGATATCGCGGCGGTGGTGTCCCGATTGTGATGATGATCGCGACGCGAATATGACGGTTTGATCGTGACACTCCGCCAGCCAAGCCTGGTCCCAGGCGACCGCCATGCCAGGCTGCGGCGAAGCACGGAGGAACTGAGGGCAGGAGACGGAACTGAAGGAGAGATGGAGAGACGGACGGGGAGGAGGAGTTGGATTTGCAGCAGGGAGGAGAGATGAGAAGAGTACTCCCGACTCGACGCGGAGGGGCGCCAAATATTCTTTCGGGCTCCCCCAAGCCTTGGGACACTACTGTAGGTGTCACACGAGTTGGCCTCCTGTGCGCCACCCGAACAGTCCCAACATGTCTCCTCCCAAGGTGCTAGGTCGGCACGGTGGCGGGACTTGTCGCGGTCAGCTGAATAGAGGAACAACTGACTGCATAAGCACAAACTTTGGAAGGTCCGTACAGACTTCTTCGATGAGCGCCGAAACAAATCTGCTCCCTGGCGCGTGGAGCGCGCCAGTGGCGGCGCCGGGGGCGCCGCCAGGGGGCGCCCGGCGCCGATCCCAGAAGACCGCACGGACCCCCCAAAGTTATGCTTGCACCGCTTGCACTTTCCCGAGGGAGGGACATCGGGACGCCGTTGGCCCAGTACGCAGCACGCCACCCGCAGCGTGCTGACACGGAGCTGAACGCGTGGACTGAAAGCGCAGGTCAGGCGCGATACGTCGACCAGAACGTGACGTCACGTGGGCCAACACGTGCCGAGCCAAACACGCACCGTGGTCAGGGCGGACGTTTCGAGGACGGCACGTCCTGCGTTTCAAGACGGACGTATCGGGGCAGCAAATAATCGGAGAGGACATGGGTCTGGTCGCGGCCGCGGGCAGCCGTCACCCCGATGGGTGCGGAGCGCGCGAGAACCAGCCGCGCGCGCCCTCACTTTTCCGCGGCCACCTCTTCCTCCTTGGGCGCCGCGTCGGCCATGAGCTTGTTCACCTATGGGGGTGGCAGCGGTTCTAAGGTACTGCCAGGGAGCGAGGAGGAGAAGGAGGAAGAGGAGGGCAGGGGCGAGAGAAAGCAGAGGGCGAGGGCGAGAAGAAGACGCAAGCCCACTGAACGCCGCGGGGGTAGGAGGGAGGAGACAGAAGAGTGGGACTGAAGGGAGGACGGAAGGAAGGGGATGGAAAGACAATAAGCAAGAAGAGGAGAGGAGATACGGAGGCAAGGGTGAAGGGCGGAGGCAGGATCCAGGAGGCAGGAGGGAGGAGGGCGGTGCTGGTGCAGTTGGCGTTCCTTGGGGCCCCTGGCCTCCGCGTCCTTGAGCATCCTGAACTTCACCTGCCGTTCATCCTCCTCCTCTTCATCCTCCTTCTCTTCCCCCTCATCACCATCATTGTCGTCAACCTTCTCCTCATCATCATCATCATCACCCTTTTGCTCATTCTCATTCGGGCAAGTCGACTGACCACGCCACCGATCCTGACCAGGCCCATCGAAGGCACAGGATCCGAATTCACGTCCTCCTGTGAAGAAGTGTTTTGTGTCGAAAAAGCGTATTACGAAGATACACGATGCAACAGTTCACTCATGACCATGCGTGCAAAGAAAGTATTTCAACACCCCTTCTCGCTACAAGCTGGACTGTACTCCAGATTGCAGCGCCTGGCACGACTCTGTAGCCGTCTCAAGCTAGTGGAGCGCGGCGATCCGCCCAAGCTTAGTGTAGCGAAGCGCGCAGTAGCGAAGCTCAGTGCTGTGCGGGGCTACCCGCGCTCAGATAGGTTGCTGCTTCGAGCAGTAGCGGGGCTACCCGCAGATCAGCTCTTGTTGGTTGGGCGACTCCGTGTCCACCACCAAGCAGGACAAGCGGGGCTGGCCGCTCCCACACCGCAGCTCGTCAACATTCGAGGTGTTTCCCTGCTGCTGCCCTTCCGTCGCGAAGGTCGTGGTCAATCTTTTTCGTGCGGCCGTCGATATCTTTCCGCGATAGCGGCTTCGTCTGGAGGTCTGAGCGATGGATTTTGGTCCCGGCTTCCCTTAACGTCAGATGCCGCACGGCAATGCGTTCCTGAACCCACAAGTACCGAGTCTGGATGTGCTCCAGCTTGCCCACACCCCGCCGAGAAGAGAACCCCCGGGCGACTGAGGAGTCAGAGACTACCCTCACGGTGGACGAAACTTTCCAATCGGCTACGACACCTTTGATCCCGAGCCCTGTGCAAGCGCCTACGCTGATGGCGTAGCATTCGTTCTCTCATGAAAAAAAGCCGATCACGTGCAACAAGTTGCACCCGTGCTTCACGCAATGCCTCCCAATGAACGCCACTCGTCCGATTGTAGACCTCCTGGATATATTATCCCCTGCGCTGTCTGAATCCACCATCGCGAAGATCTTGACAAGTTCGCCAGCCAGGATACGTGGATCGCGCCTGTATACTTGAACAACCCGCGGGCGATATTTCAGATCCCTCCCGAGTCTCTTTAGCCGAACCATGTCCACCTGCCGTGGAGACTGCACGTAGTTCGATAGATTCTTGACCGCATCACCGAGATCAGCTCTGTCAAGCGAAAGATATGCAGTTCGCATGGTGACGCTCCTGCAACGCTTCACCCCCTCACCTACGAGAAGAGGAGATGACTCTCGCTCCTGATCGTCTGCTTCCTCCCTGAGTCGTGGCGTGTCCAGGGACTTCGCAGAATGTCCACCTAAACCGAACCCCTTCGCGATTTTCTCTGCGCGTCGCGGGTTTGCTTTGATCTCAAACCTCTCGTCGCCAGGGTTGCCCGCGACACTGAGCACCCTGTTCAAGAAGATCACTTCCTACTCCCCCCTCCCGTGCCCAGCTTGAGGCTTCCTGTCACTTTCAGATCACACTTGGACCTGAGCGTCTTCTCGATCTGATCTAGAGCCGCATCGTCACTTAGTGCGCAAAATTCATCCCCGTGTGCTACCGAGCGGCAGCCATCCCGAACGTTGCAGAACAGTGCTGGATTGGCTCTGTCCGCCACGTGACCATCACTCTTTCACACCCCTGTGTAGTCGCGCTGCCAGATTACTGACGCGTCCTGGGTCCCATACGTGGACTTCTTGAGTAGTCCGCAGTGGATTCCGTTTTGCTCCTGCTCCGGGAGCTCTATGTGCGCAGGCCTCTCAGCTACGCCATAGACATGGGCACGGGGGACGTCGAAGAATCGCATTCCGAAGGGCTGCCCTCTGGAACAGACCCTTTCCTGGACCATCCTGGCACTCAAGATCTTCACCCCCTCCACGGGCGGCATCGCGGAGAAGAGCAAGGCCGCCGGCAGCGCCCGGCTCTCTTCGCCTTCACCCCGTTTCTCGCGGACAACAACCCTCGCCCTGTAGTTGGGTCGTTCGTTGTCGCTTTAGTTCGTGTCTACCCAAAGCAGCTTGAATGGGTCGGTCCCAATGACCTCCCTGCACTCCTGCTGTGGCCGTTTCTCGTACACCTTCTCGCCGGTGCAACCAATCGACTTAGCATGTCCGCGCCTCTTGAACCATCACAAGATCGAACCAACCGCCGTTGACATCATCCCGGTACCGATCGCCGTCGTTCAGAAGCTCTCGGCTGACCTCGAAGGACTCTGGGCCGAGCGGGAGCACTGTTGGCCCCCCTAGGGGGGGATATCTGGCGCACGCCTCACCAAACCACCCACCACCTTCACGACGTAGTGGCGTTCGGGGCGGGGCTGCCCGCTCACCGATCCAGTCTGGAGCCGTCCAGCCAGCTCTCCAACCAGTCCTGGTAGATCGGCCATGAATTCAGTGGACTCCCTCAAATAACGTACGACACCATCTCGCGAACCTTCGTGGGCTGACCATCCAAACTCCACTTGCACACAGGCCTGTTTTCTCGTGAGACCGTCCCTTGAGCAAGCAATGCCTTGAACTGCTCATCCTGTCAAGTCCTGGCAGCATGTGGATGTGCGTGAAGGACCTATCTACTACGAGCCACGTGTTGACGATAGTTTTCGCAAGATGCCCACATGTGCTTCCGAGATACATCCATGGCCTTGGCTAGAACAGCGGGGCCCCTCTGACAAGTACCACCCTGACGCAAATGGAATGCAACACGCGGAGGCGACCATATGAGAAGATACGGGTGTTCGCGTTCAACTCCCCTGAAGCATTCAGCTACGTCTGAATCGTCACTGAAGTCCCAGTGCGTTCCGTCGGGCTTCGGTGCTTCTATGTCTACGAAGATTCCTGGCTCCATGCCCAGGGCGCCTCCTAACGAACAAAGTGAACGAAAGTGCGCCGAACATCAGGCACATCTACGGATCCCAGCTCCAGTGAAAAATGTGTGATATGTTCCAGTTCAGAGGGAGACAAAGCAATAGCGTTACGTTTGGACGTCGATACAATACTGTCACGATACACTGCTCGAGGCGTTCCTCTGTCACACGAAAGCTTCGCAACATCCATGGATACTAATTCCATTCTTGGGTTGATGGACCCGGCGGCGTCGCTGGCGGAGCCTCCCGCCGGCGCTCCGCCCTCGCCGCCGGCTGCCGCGGGGCTACCCGCAAGAGGTGGCCTGGGGGCGCCCGAACTTGCACTCGATGCCCCAAACATCCTGGCCTGGATCCTCACCTCGATTGCTGGCGGCAGCTTTACGTCATCATCCACTGTCTGTCCTGGAGCTTCCGCCAGCTTCCGCTTGAGCTCTGATTGGTTCCACGCGTCGCCTTCCCGAGGGTCGCTCTTTTGAGCCCGCCGAAGGCTCCCGAGACGTTTCGGCTTGCCCCGGCCTCGGCTCGACTCCCGCGGGGCTACCCGCTGAAGAGCTGCTGCCCTGTGCTGCTGACCTCGGCCCTCCTGCTGCTCCCAGAGGTATGATTCCTCCTCCTGGCGTTCCTCCTCTTCCTTTTCCTCCTCCTCCTCTTCCTCCTCCTCCTCCTCCCCCTCCTCTTCCTCCTCCTCCTGCCCCTTCTACAACTACTCCTGTTTCTCCTCGCCCTTATTGACCTTCGCGACGATGAAGGTGATGGGGACGAGCGAGAACAAGACGAGGGGGCGGAGGATGGCGATGGAGATTTTCCTCTGCGGCCCCCTCGTCAAATCGCGGTTCCTGCCGAACGGCCTGCGCCTCCAAGCGGTGTTTCTGCGCGGGGTCCGTGTTAATCTTCTCGGTCATCCGCTCGGTGCACTGCTTCGCGTGCGCCACTGCAGCCGGCAAGTCTATAGCGACGCGCCCACACGCCACGCACTCCGGCGTGGACCCGTACGTCTGCAAGTCCCTCTTCAGGATGTACAGCTTGCTCGGCCGTGGCACGCCTCCTCCAGAGCCTCCTGCGCCACCGGCTGCTGAGGCGGCGGCGGCACTGCCGCTGGGGCCACCCGCTGCCGCAGGCCTGGCCGGTGCGGAGCTCCCCGCGCCCGGCGCCATGTCCTAAGGTTTCCCCTTGAGGTCGTCGAAGAAGTCCGCCACCCAGCGCTCCTCGACCGTCATTTCGTCGAAAGTGTTAGCTCGCACCACCCCGGCTGCAGTCATCACCATCAAGCTGCCGGTGAGCGCGCGGTGCCCGACGCAGACGCCCTCGACAATCTTGGGCGCAAAGCCAAACCTCGGCTCTTCCTGCGCCAACCGGGCGTGCATGCGGTCCCCGAACTCAATGAAGGCCCTGTTCCAGCGCCTCCGGGTTCTCCTCTGCTCGGCCGCCCAGCCGTCGGCGCCCACCCTGTACCGCGACAGGCAGGCGGCTGCGTGCCTGGGAAGCCAGGTCCAGACGTCATGCGTCCGAGGCAAGCGTTTCCGGAGTCTCTCCTCCGACGCCTCCTTCAAGGACCTCATCGTCCGTTTAACTTCCCGCACAGCCACTTCGGCCTCTCCGTTGGCCTGATGGTCGCCGACAGGACTCTTCCACACGAGGCAACGCGTCGCCTGCAGCCGCCCTGAGCGCCACTAGGCTTGCCTCGCTGTCCGACTTGGAACCGCACCGTTTGCATCCAAGCTGTCTGACACACCTGGCAAAAAAATCGCACCGCGTAGGCATCAACTCCTTTGCTCGGGATGTCGCCATGAAGCTTTTCGTCGGCATGTCCTTCATGACAAGCATGGGCATTGTGGCGCTCTCATCATTAATGCGCGCGTAGTCACCAGAAATGACGGGGTCTGCGCCCTCGCGCTCCTCTTGGGCCCTGCGTTGTTCTCCAATACCTCGCCCTGCTTGGCAATGCCGACACTGCGATCGAAACTGCGCGTGCCCCATCGCGTAGTGGTCCTCGACCTCTCGCCGCGTCGGGGGAAGCGCAGATACCCTGCGGCGCTGCTCCTGCTGCTCGCCCGCCGCCTCGTCGTCCGGCACGCCTGGTGCTCCGACCGCCTCTGCGGCGGGCACCTCGGCAGGCAGGCGCGGGGCCGCCCGCTCCTGCTGGCGCTCATCCACCGGACTTGCAGACGAGAGTCCAGCCGCCCAGACACCGGCTGCGGAGCTGCCCGCGCGCCTGGGCCCTCGAGCCCGGCGACCTCCGTCTGGTCATCTACATGCATGTAGAAGTTGTACACGCCTCTCTCCTCGTACACAAGCAAGAAGGTCTCGTAGACGTGCTTCTGCACCAACCTGTTCACTTCCTGCTTGAGCTTCCTGCCGACGACACCGTCGCGAGGGATGACGCACCTCCCGCCTTCCTCCAGCACGAGCAGCTGCCCTGCCCGGGAGGCAAAGGCCAGAACCTTGTGCGCGTCTGTTAGCCTACCCGTGGTGTTCCGCACCATCGAGTTCTCATCGGCGCACCGCAGCCTGACGCCTCCGTAGTCGGGGGTTATCTCCCCGCTCGCCGTGACGTAGCCCTTGTGGCCGCCGTCCCCGCGCTCCCCCATCGCGGCCTTCGAACCGCTTCTGCGGGTACGCCGCGACAGCGGCGCCTGTGTCCAGGTTGAACACGAGGCAGCCGTCGGCGCCGGTGGCTGGCTGGGAACTTCGTGTCCAGAGCCCCCATGTCCAGCGCGCCCTGTTCGCCTTCCGGCTCGCCGTCGTCCTCGTGCTCTGCGTCCAGGGACCCTGCGCGCTCGCCCTTGCCCTTCGCCTTGGCCTTGGCTGTGGGCTTCGCCTGACCCTTCGGGCCAGCTGGCTTCGTCGCCCGGCATCCCTCTGCCTTGTGGGCCCACTTGCCACGCCACCAGTTGTTGCAGTACCCTTCGAACGGAGCAGGCCTGGAGCTGTCAGCTTTGCCCCCTTGGGCCTTGTCCTCGGCGTCTGCGCCTTCGCCTGTGCCCTTACCTGTGCATCCCTTGGAATCGCCCTCGCGTTTCCAAGCAAGAGAGTCGACGCCCATGGGCTTGACCCAGGCATCCGCGCTGGCAGTCGGCACGCGGCCCCGCGCAGTGACCCTGACCTGTTTTCCCGTTCTGGTCTCGTAGCACTGCGCTACCTCGGCACGCACGTCGGCGCACTTCTCCAGCCTGGACGCGTTGAGCTGCAAGTGCTTCTCCAGCTCCTCGGGCACCGTGGCCTCCAAGGCCGAGGCAAGAAAGTCGTCAGCAATCTGTGCCTCGCCCACCTACTGCGGCTTCCTGTCGTGGCTGGTCACCCTGGCCTCCCACGTCTAGAACGCCGACCCGAGCTCTTCGATCTTCACCCTGCTGGGTGGCATGATCGCCCTCAGCAATGTCCGACGCCTCCCGCCGCTCAGCGGGTCAAAGCGCCGGTGCAGCACCCGCGCAGCTCTGCACGATCGCCCACGCCTCGCCCTTATATGGCGCTGGCAAGGACGGCCTTGAACTGCTGGTTGAAACCCTCCATCCCTTCGATGAAATTGTCGTCTGCGACTCCGAACTGGAGGCCCACGTCGCCCATGCTGAGTGGGTCGTCTTGGTCCAAGGCTCACCCCAGCGCACGACCCAGCAAAGGCTCTACACCGCACGGATAGTCCTCTATCTTGCGGGCCCACTCCGACAACCTGGAGTCATCTCCTGTGAACGTCCATGGTTTCCCGATGGCCTTCTGGTCACCAGCTGCGGCCTCCCATGCCGCGCGAGGGCCTTCGTCTGTTCCGTAAGCAAGGACACCAGATGCTGCAGCACCTCAGTGGTCGCCGCCGCTGCCGCCGCTGCGTGGCTCTGCTCAAGCGCCCCAATATGGTTCTGCTGTTGCGTTACTGTGGTCTGAAGCTGCTGGTTCTCTGTCCGGAGCAGCCGGAGCTGCTCCGTGACCTCCTGAAGCTGCGCCCGCACTGCTTGCAGCGCTGCCTCGGCCATCCCGCTCTTGGCTCAAGCCCTCTCTCCTGACCCTCTGGACGCCGTGCCCGTCCGAAGGCTGTCCGCAGCGCTTCGGCCTTGCGCGCAAGACGCCCACTGGGCCTGGCAGAGGAGTCGGGCTACGCCTCTCTGCGCCTGCCCCTCCTTCTCCTCGTGGATCCAAGAGCACGCACCTCCTGCGCTCGCGCTGCGGCTGCTCCACGCACGCCGATCGCGAAAGGCTCATGCCCCGCGGACCCCTCCCCACTCGAAGCGGGGCCTCCTGCAGGCGCGGAGCTGCCCGCTCCCTGGTGTGCCGGCGGGGCTGCCCGCCAGCAGTGGCCGCAAGCTTGGGCGGGGCTGCCCGCTCTCCAGCCTCGCGGCGGCGCTGTTAACCTCGGTCGAATCAATGTTGCACTCGATCGGCTGATCGACGGCCCCTCTTGCGCTTCTTCGGCGGCGTGCGCGGGCAGCGGCACCCTACGATACCACGGAGAAGTGTTTTGTGCCGGAAGGGCTTATTACGAAGATACACAATGCAACAATTCACTCCGAATCATGTGCGCAGAGAGGGAATTTCAACATCCTGGCTTGGCCAGGGGGCATATGTATATATATATATATATATATATATATATATATCTATATATATATATATATACCCGCCGATCCGGCGTGTGAGTTTCTGAGAGCGTGGATTTGAGCTCGCTCAAGCTTCGCTCTGGAGGGGGGGGGGCACGTTATTTCCGACGTCATTTCCGACGTTTTTCGGTACACGGGGATACTTCCGACATTAACTCCCGGGGACAGGGGTGCATAGAAAACTCCACTTCTGGAGCCCCGAACGCCCAAGACAGCCCAAGAGGAAGCCAAGAGAGGTCCCAGAGGCCACCTAGACAATACAAGAGGGCCCCGAACCACCGAAACATCATCCTCATCATCCTCATCATCCTCATCATCCTCATCATCATCATCATCATCATCATCATCATCAGCATCATCATCATCATCATCATCATCATCATCATCCTCATCCTCATCCTCATCCTCATCCTCATCCTCATCCTCATCATCATCATCTCGATCTCACCCCCCCCGGATCGGCGGCACTGGCCGGAGGCCAGCCCAATATGTATATATATACATATACACATATATATACATACATATATATATATATATATATATATATATATATATGCGCACACTGACCCTGGGCCCAGGATCGGACCAGCCAGGATCGGCGAGGCGGTGAGTTGACATCCCCCGATCTCACGCTTCCCGTCCTGCGACGTCGAACATAATCCAAGGTGGCACTAAAGCTTGCGAATTGCGGTCCTCCTCCTCCTCATCATAACCACCAAGACCACCACAATCATCATCACCACCAAGACCACCACCATCATCAACATCATCATCAGCATCGGCATCATCATCAGCAGCAGCAGCATCATCAGATCATCATCATCATCATCATCATCATCATCATCAGCATCATCATCATCATCATCATCATCATCAGCATCATCATCATCATCATCATCATCATCATCGTCATCATCATCAGCATCATCATCATATTCGTCGTCATCATCATCATCATCATCATCAGCATCACCATCATCAGCAGCACCATCACCATCTTTCATCAGTATCATCATCAGCCGCATCATCATCGTCATCGTCATCGTTATCCGCATCAGCATCAGCACCAGCATCAGCATCAGAATTATCACCATCATCATCAGCATCATCATCATCGTCGGCACCATCATGCATCATGCAGCATGCATCATCAGCAGCAGCGTCACCATCATAATCAGCAGCAGCATCATCGGCAGCATCAGCATCGTCATCATCAGAATACCAACCAGCTGAAGCATCATCACCATCATCAAAAACATCATCATCATCAGCAGCATCATCATCCGCAGCAGCATCGTCATCATCAACATCCTCATCATCGTCATCAACATCATCATCATTCGTATCACCGGCATCATCATCGTCGTCCTCCTCTTCATCATCATCAGCATTGTCATCATCAGCATCACCATGATCATCATCATCATAATCCTTGTCCCAACTTCGCCTGCCCCTGGGTCGTCCTCTCGACGACGCCGAACTCCAATTTCTCAGCGTTGGGGTTTGCCGTGTCCATGGTCTTCGTTAGCACCTTCGAGGCAAGAGGACATCCACGCTCTCCAGCTCCCCCGTCGCGCTTCCACTCCCACTGCCCCTCTCTCTCAGTATCGCTCCTCTCCTCTCCTCTCCTCTCCACTGCTCTCCTCTCTCTCTCTCTCTCACAATCTCGCTATGTACACACACGAGTGTGTACACCTTTCATATTGCTGTGCATAAATGTATGATGTACATCCCTCACCCTCCACCCCCTCCATCCTGTTACCATGACTTCCAAATGAGGTGCATATTCCTTACACAATACGCACATGCCCATTCCGACTCAGACACGCGCGTGCCTCGCAGCCCGCGGACGATCCAAGCAAAACGGCCCCAAGTGGCTTCAAAGCCTCCCAAAAACCCATCGGAAGGACAAAATCATTCAAATATTGTTGTTGTTCAATGCGTTTGAGTTGTTCGTTTGTTCGCTTCGAGCTTCTCAAATTTCAAGATAGCTCCACGATTGCCCAAGGAAACCCAAAGATGAGTCCAGATAGGACCCAAGGCGACTTCAAAGAACCCCACGAGCGCCCCAAGAGCGTTCGAAGAGGGCTCCGAGCGGCGATGTGACAGCCTCCGACAGAAGGGCCTGGTCTAAGAACCCCCTGTTGGAGATATGCTCTCCAAGAGCAATCTATGAGAGCCCCTAAGGCCCCCAAGTGGGCCCCAAGAGAGCCCCGAGAAGGCCCCAAGAGAGCCCCAACGGCCTCCATAGACCTCCCAGGAAAGGTCCAGGATAGCCCCAAAATTCGATGGCTTGTTGCTGTTGGTTGGTGGCTGAGCTTGCACATGGAATTCATGCAGTCTTCTAGTAGATATGCAAATCGTTTGAGAACGTCCCCCACCGGATCCTTACCATTCGCGCCTTTGTACTTGGTTTTCATCGCGTGCTACTTCGATACTTCCTCAATGTGTATCGGGGTCCGCGCATTGTCACTGCCACGGGCATTCCTGGCATCATCGCCTTTGCGACCCAGACGATTGTCGCAGGTTGTGGCTGTGCAGACCTTCTCATGAGATGTATGATCATGCCCGTGATCGATCTGGAGTAAATTGTTACCTTTTTCTACATTATGGCGCCGTTGCGGACGACATCCAATGCACGATCATTAGCACAACCCGTTTCGTCTTGGAGTGGATGCCGAAAATTGCTAGTATGCTCGTGCAGAAGCTGCGCGACTCGCACTTACCACTATCCCTCCCCAAGTTGGCGCTGGTGTCGTCCAACCCCGATGTCACTAAGAACATCGTAGAACAGGTCCCTGCATTGATCAAGGCACCACGCGCGATCACTAGAAATCTAGGCGGTCTTGTCCGTCCCCATCGTAAGCACCGCTTGAAGTTGTCCAGCCAGAGAGCTCGGAGAATCACACAACTTCGTAAAGCAGGCGGTCGCGTTCATCGTCTTGTAGCTGCCTCTGTGAGGCCTGTGGCCATGTACGGTACGCACGTCACTGGTATATCCACTGCGCACATACACGAAATGCGTCAACATTATCCACGGCAACGTCTGGTAGGCATCACCATTCTACACCATGGACATGGCGCTCGATGGGGTAGTGCATCCAGCCGTACCTGGACATACTGATTTCATTGTCATGTGGTGTGCATGTCGCTGGGACCGCGCGTTGCCAAATGAGATGCTTGATGAAACGTTTGAGTGGGCGCGCCGATACGTCACCTCCAGAACTCAGTGGCACGATCTGTATGGGCCTGCTTCTGCCGTCGTTGCCACGTTGATTCGGCTCGGATGGTCTATCGATACCCCTGTGAAGTGGAAGACAGCGGCGGGTTCCACCGTCGACATTTCTGAGGTTGCTCCCAGGGACGTCGAGATCCTCGTCGCACGTGATGCCGAACTTTTGACATGGCGCCAATCGGCGCCACGGTACCCTCTAAAGCAGCATCTCGCGGTGGCTCAATTTCTGATGCCAATTCGGACCATATTGTAGGGTGATGTGGCAAGTTGGACTCAAACTCAATCCACAACTTTGAAAACAGTTCTCGCGAGAGCTCTACATCTACGTCTATGTTGCTCCCTGTGCCAACATGCCTCCCGTGATCTTCGGGAGGCCACTCATCATTTGATATGGGATTGCCCGGCTACCTACCAATTCCGACGAGATTTCGGACTGCCGGAACACATCCAAAGGGTAAAAGCAGCCCACCCCCACGACCTCGTCTGGTACACCGCACCCGTCCCAGACCCAGAGCGGCTGCTTCCCCTTCCCTCCACAGATTTGGAGCTGGAGTGGGGGAAGGTGAGGGCGCAGGGAAATATTGTTGTGTCCCCTGCTTTTGGAAATGGCTCAGGTCTGCATGGACCTTCGCCCCGTGCCATCAGGCGTGGTTTCTGTGCCGCCCGTCAATAGAAAGGGAAATCCGATCACAATTGCGTATGGTATCTACCCCAGCCTCGTCCAAGACGTGCCTGGCGCTGAGACTGCTGCTTTCCTGTTTTTTCTCAAACACAATGCTCCTGGAGATGACCAAGGATATCATTACTATTATGAAGGGGCCCCAGGACACACAAATAAATACACACAAATAAAACGATACCCGTATTTCCCTATATTTTGGGGGGTGTTCGTCTTCCCCCCCCACTTCCCATATGTTCCCATGTTTCCTGGGGGATCGAGGATTAATTGTGTCTGTGTGTTCTTTCCCCTCCTGATATTATGATTGCCAGTGGATTGTTGATACGTTCAGTCTTCCTCCGTCTGCTTCCGCTTCTGGCATGGCCGTGCACGCGGACTGGCTGCGTGCAGTGGCATGCGGAGGCTCAGGACATCGGGTACGACCGCATGGGATCAAAGCCCACCTACAGTCAAAACGTATAGTAAGGACGCGTGGTAAGGACGCAAGACCCTTGGAGGCTGAAGTTGGGATTTGTTTGGGCGGCGGCGACCAGTGAAAACGGCGAAGGACGGGCCGCAGAGGCAAGAACGCAAGGGTACCCTAGATGAAGGCGCGCGTCCTTACTAGGCGCGTTGACTGTATCAGAAGAAGCCGAACAACAGCCTGTCTGGTGCACTCGGGCGAATGCTGTTGCAGATGTGTGTGCCAAACGTGGAGCTGCACAACACACCGTCGATGAAGCAGCCCCGAGTCGCATTAAGCGTAGCTCTGTTACTGTTACACGGATTGCCACATGTAAAGCACATGCAGTGTCTGACGCCGTGAAGTTGTTCGAACAATGCTCCAATCTAACCCCTCCCTTGGTCCCTCCTGCTCCTGGGTTGGTGATAGGGGCTCCTCCCGTGGGGATCGGCCACCAGGTGGCCTGGGGCACGCGAGCTTCGAGGCATCGCTGTGTAGCCTGCTGGGCGTCCAGTCAGGACAAGTTTGAGGGGGAACTGGGACACACAAATAAATGGACACGAATAACCAGATTCCCCATAGTTTCCTATATTTTCTGGGTTTCTGTCTCCCCCCCCCCATTTCCCATATTTTCCCATATTTTCGGGGGAATCGACGATTAATTGTGTCTGTGTGTTTTTTCTCCTCCTGAAAGTGTGTTCTTTCAAATGCGGACTGTCCAGCCCCAGAAGGGTACGGCCACGCGATCAGAACATGCGGCCCTCACGTGTTCTGCCGGTCCTGCGATATTATCGTGCCGTTGATGTGCATAAGTTGCAGCGGGCGTGCCGCGGAAAGGCCAAGGCCGATGTCACCAGACGTACGCTAGCGAAGTTAATAAATGGACGAGATCCCCGTACATATGCACACTTGGAGAACGTAACTGTGCCCTGTCCTCAGGTCTTTAATGACCGCAGCGTGTACGGGCCTCCCATAGATCTGGACCCCTGGTACTTGAGCATACTGATACTAATGTATAATGCTCGGTAGGGGTTGTGGACTGAGGGCCCAGAGTCGATCTGAATCCGACATTATGCCCCGAAGTTCGTTTAACAATTGTAACGCCTCTCTGTAGTGTCGATCGACTCATCCGTGTAACTTTCGGCTCCTGCCCAAACGGGCTTGTAGCCGAAACAGGTGATAGCGATAATACTGCCAGTTTTCTCGGACCTGCGCGCTGTTCATCCCGGTGTTCACCGAATGTTTGCCCCACCCATGCCATGGGTGTTCACCGATTGTTTGCCCCATGGGTCCCATGGGACAAAAAATCGGTGAACGCCCATGTGCCCTCGCAGGGCGACCATTTAAGTTGCCACGAATGCATGCCAGGCGGCTGTCTCTTGTTGCCTCAATCCTGGCTCATGCCCAAGTTTTCTGGGGCGCCCCGACGGAGGAACCCGCAGCTCCCCGAAGGAAATACGCTAAGGGGAATGCGCACGTGATTGGGCGGATACCATCCGCACTCTCCCATGACCGGAGCATCTCGCCGAGGAATCGTTACTATATGAGCTGGCGGGAATGCGCGAAGCGTCGAGAACCCCCCCCACTCTCCCCGCAGCGCTATAATCTGACCCAGACACGCGCGCACCTCGCAGCCCGCGAGAGCGCTCCAGCCGGGCGTTGCTAAAGCGCCCCTGGCTCAAGGCGCCCCCCTGATGTCCAAGAAGGCCCCCGCTGCCTCGAGAGAGCCCCATCCCGAGGCCCAGTGGGCACCAGGGGCTCCAAACTTGAGCGAAAAGCTGGGGGCACCTTGGGCCAGGGGCACGTGGAGCAACCCCCGATCGGGAACAGGCAAAAAAGCCCTGGAGTGCCGAGCCCAGCTCGGGAACGGCCAGGAGGCGGCGGCGGCGGCGGCGGCGGAGGGGCAGAGGAGATGGAGCCAACACCTCCGCCGCGAAGGCCTCCAGGGACGAGCCCCGAGGGCGCCGCTGCGGGAGTGGCGGGCGGAGCGCCTCGTCGCAGGAACGGGCTTCTCCCAGGGTGCCAGGAACCCAGACCTCCGACGTCATTTACCAGCCTCGAACGTATCCCTATCCCTAAGATTGACACGCCAAAAGGCGATGACAATCTTAGAGATTCGCCCTCAAAAAATAAGGGAATCCCTAAGATTGGCATCGTGATGAGGAGGTGCCCAGCATAGGGATAGGGATATGTTCCAGGCTAGCAAGTCGTGACATCTGTCCCCCGACGCGGGCCCCCGGAGCTCTCAGAGCCCATGCCGGTGAGAGCCATCTCGTCGCGGGCCGGCGGGTGCTGCTTCGACGCCCCTCGTGACTCTGCTTGCGACGCCTGGAGGCCCAGGCCTCCTTGGAGGCCTGGAAATGGGCACCAACACCAACACAGGGGGGTGCCTCCACAGGGGGGAAGATGATCCTAGATTTCGGTGTTGGTGGCAATAGTTCGGTCACCTTGGAAGCCAGACTATTACCACCATCACCGAGATCGGGATCCTCTTCCGTCGGTGGAGGCACACCGCCGATACTGGTGTTGGTGTCAACCTCTAGGCCTGCGACCTCCCCCCACCCCACCCTCCAGGTCGGCCTCTCCGACCTCTCGAGGGCGCGCGCTCTGCCCAGGCGGTCGGGGCCGAGTCCGGCCACGGGGCGGCGAGGGCGCCCGCCTGGGGGCGCAGGGAAAGCACAGGAGCGCCCCCAGAGGGGCCATCGCACGTGAGCCCGACCCCTGCAGGTCAGATTGCCGAAGCGCCGGCTGGGAATCAGAACTCGACGGACGTCTGAAGCCAGGTGGTATCCAGGGGGGGGGGTGGTCCGAGACCCTGGCGTCGACTGGACCAGCAAGGGCAGGGCTCGCACACCAAACCCGGAGCCTCGACTCTCGAAGGAGGGAGGTCTGGAAACCCGAGCTCCACCCCACTTCCGTCGCCCCTCCCACCGAAGCATCCTCTGGGGCCCCGGTGAGCGGGGCAGACGAAGCTGGAGCGGGGGGGTGGGAGGACGAGGGGAGGCAAGGGGAGAAGGAGGAGAAAGAGGAGAAGGGAGAGAAGGAGCAGTGGAGCGTGAAAAGAAGGAGGAACAAGCAGGGAAGGCGGAGGGGGGGAGGAGGAGGAGGAGGAGGAGGAGGAGGAGGAGGAGGAGGAGGAGGAGGAGAAGGAGAAGGAGAAAGAGGAGCACGAGGATGAGGAGAAAGAGAAGGGTGAGGAGGAGCAGTGGGAGGAGGAGGGACCACGCGCCCCGCTCACTCACTGAACCCCCGAGACAACACGGCAGATATCAGCGATAGGGCGCGGTGTGTACACGCGGCCGGTTCGGTTGGCGGCCTTGGCCGTCAGCTCCAGCGCCTCCTGAATCGGCATGCCCTCCTTCCAGTCCTGCCTGGGGGGGGTAAGCCCTCGGCACTCCCCACCCACTCCGAAAGAAGTCCCCCACTCCCCCTCCTCTTACCCCCTCCTCCTCATCATCATCCTCCCCTCCTCCTCCATTCCTTTTCCTTATACATAACCTCTTCCCGTCGAACCCCGAAGCCCGTTTTCAGGGCGGGCTGGGCGTTTCTCCCGAGACTTCCTCCCCACGTATGACCCTGATGCTTAAACATTGGTCATTGTTTCACAGATGGAGGGTGGGAGGTTTTCAAACTGTGACTCTCGCCTTAGCGCCGCGCATAATCGTTCTACGAATTCGCAAGGGCTTCACGGATTGAGGGCAACCCGTTTTCAAAATGTGGCTCTCGCCGCAGCGCCGCGCACATTCGTTATAAATTGGGAGGATTGGGGATGCTGCGGGTGCAACAGTTACGTTGATTCGCGGTGTGGAAGTCCCAAGACTGGCGTTCTGGCACGGTTCAGGATAGTCAAAACGCAAAAGTCAATGTTCCCCCACAATGGAAACACAAACAACCTTCTGGGCAACGAACGCTCTGCAACGGCAAAGTGAATATGTCACGGAATACCTCTTGGAAGTGGTGAACATGTCAAATGGTCAGACGGCACAGTTGTATGCCCGAAATGATCCAGACCGTGTTGGTGTCTACAAAGGAGGAGGGAGGACGGACGGAGAAGGCAAAAATCAGGTTGATCCGTGGCGTTGTAATCCCGAGAACCATGTTTTGGCATGCCTCACGTTTTCAAATAGTTGTCTTCCAACGAGGCAATTCCCTAAATGGAAATGAACCGTTGTAGGAGCCTATGAACAGGGAGCTTGAAGGGAGGGTGTATTCCAACATCGTTGATGGCTCTTGGGTTTACACTGGTCTTCCTCATGATCCTCCTCCTCCTCATGTTCCTGCGCCTCCTCCTCATCATCATTATCATCATCACCATCCGCATTGTCATCATCACCCTCAGCATCAGCACCACCATCATCAACAGCATGAAAAATAACCACCGGCATCATCATCTTCACCATCGTCATCATCATCAGCATCATGATCATCATCATCATCAGCATCATCATCAGCATCATCAGCATCGTCATCATTATCGTCATCATCATCAGCATAATCATCAGCAGCAGCATCATCATCTGCAACAGCATCATAATCAGCAGCAGCAGCATCAGCATCACCAGCATCATCATCAACATCCTCATCATCACCATCATCAGCATGATTCACCCGTGTTCCTCAAACATACTCTTTCCTATTCCACCCCCAGACGTGTCTATGGGGCGGGCCAGGCGTTTCGCCTGAGACTTCCTACTTCCGTACCAGTTATGATATCACAGAGGCTGATCACGATACACAATGGGGCACGAAATGGGCTACGAAATTGCCAGGGCGCCCCAGACAATTCATTGCAACATGCGCACGACCCGTCGGCACTGCCACTGCGACCATCAGCGTTAACAGCGCTGTGCCCTGTCAACATCGTCGCCGCGGCAAGCACAACCCAGCTCGCCAGCGGCAGCCGACAAGCATGGGGGACCAGGAGAACGACGCAGGAGCGCGAAATTGCCCACACGAAAATTTCCCGCGCGAAATGGCCCCAGAGTTGCCGCCCAGACTGGCCGCAGGAAAAGGCCCCCAAATTGATTCCCCGGACTCGGTTGTGAGTGCCCAGCCGCGCACGCGAGCGCAGCCCAAAACCAGAAACCGCCTAAGACATTCGCACAACAATTTCGTGCAGACAATTTCCTGTGGCATTTCGTGGTGCAGTTCGTGCTGGAGCTCGCGCAGAGCAGAATAAGTTCATGCGGCGTGTCGTGCCTCATGTCGTACCTCACTGCGTGATCGTGCGGAATTAATGCCGTGGTCGTGCGAGAATAAGTTCGTGGCCGCGCGACCGCAATTTCATGCTCGTGCAGGAATGAAGCCGTGTTCGGGCAGCGCTCGCTTTGCACTTGCACGGCAAGTTAGCTGCTACATGTCAGAGGCTATCAAAGACATGTCGCGCTACGCGCAGACATGACAAAGCACGACAGCCAATTACCACGTGACCAATGGAAAGCAACGCGCGGCCAGCTGACCCCTCCGAACATGTTCAAGGATGCAGGGCGGTGCAGGTTCAAAATGCGACACTCGCTCGAATGCCGCGAATGCCGCGAACGGTGAAAGGATGTCGCGCGGCGGGTGTTTAACATGTGACTCTCGCCCTAGCGCCGCGCACATTAGTTCTACAGGTTTGCATCAGTTTCACAGGAGGGCGGCTCTGTTTCAAAATGTGGCTCTCGCATTAGCGCCGCGCACATGCTTTTTCCACAGTTTGCAATCGGTTCAAGGGTTCGTATGGGTAAGTCCCAGGAATGGTGCTCTGGCACGATTTAGGATTGTCAGGACAACAGTCGCGTCAACTCGCGGCGTTGAAGTTCCAGGATACGCGTGCTGGCGATAGTTAGGACTGCTACGACACACTCACGTTGACTCGCGGAGTTGAGGTCCCAGGAACTGCGTTTTGGCAAGGTTAAAGAGTATCGAACGATTGTCTTCTAATGGGGCACTTCCCGCAATCTACATCAAGTCTTACAGCGGCCTGTGAGCAGGAAACTTAGAGGAAGGTGTATTATAACATCTTTATGCGTCTTGTGTTTACACTGGTCCTCCTCCTCCTCGTCCTCCCCCTCCTCCTCCTACTCCTCCTCCTTCACATCCTACTCCTCCTTGTCCTCCCTCCGAGAGGTATGATGCGGGCTTGGTTGGACACAGACATCCGACGTCAAGATTCTGCTCGTGCAATGATCCTCCTCCTCCTACTCCTCCTCCTCCTCCTCCTCCTCCTCCTCCTCCTCTGCCTCCCCCTCCTCCTCATATCACGCAGGGGCCAGCAACAGGAGCGTTGAGATACTTGTGCCCCCTTGCACAAGGAGTTCGGAGGGAGAGGCCTCCTCCCCGTCCAGCAGCGATGGGCGCTTGCGCCCACAGGGCTTTCCAGGGCAGTGGCACTAGGAAGCTGGGCAGACCGACGGGGAAGAACTCAAGGGTTTCGGGGTATCTAGCGGCCCTCGTCTCAGGAGTCCCCACGGAACAAAAGGACAATCTGGAGATGCTGAAACGCATCACTATCACGACTTACTATTTCTCTGATGAGAACAGAAAACTGGCCAGATCAGCGCTGGGTCCCGAAAGAGAAGACTCAGTGCTACCAAGGCCGCCCGAGCACTGGCCTGACCAATCAGCTGTGAAATTGCCGCTTCAGGACCACAGTGAATCAGGTCAGAACGTGGGCCTCACCTGACCACTCTCGGCCGACCCGAACGCTGAGCTGTCACTTGTTCTGATCTCGACCTTAAGGGGGCAGCAGGGAGGTTGTGTCGGTGGGTATAGCGGGGAAAAAACCAGCTGCCTCATGACCTGCTGCGCCGTGTTGTTGTTGATGCCGATGGCGTAAGCCTTCCACCCGCTGAAGTTGCCAGAGGGGTCCGTGTGGTAAAGCTGGAAGCCGTGCTGGGTGTCGTAGCCTCGGCAGGAGGACGCCAAGTGTGCACCTGCACCGCTCCTGGCTGGTCCCATCCTGGGCCAGGATCGGTGCGTACGCCCACCTGGCCCGGCCACGGAGGCCTGCGTCGGGGAAATGAGAGGACACTGCTCCTTGGACCTCTCCAGGGCGCATTCTGACCAGGACTCCGAGGCGAACCCAGTCGGGCGGGACTTAATGGGGGGGTCATAAACGGGGGGATCAGAAAAGGTCCCCTTTCGTGCCCCTTTCGGGCCCCTCCAGAGCCCCAGGGGGCTCGTTTAGGTACCGTTTGGGTACCTTTTCGAACCACCCTCGCCAACCCCCCATTTCTACACCCCCCATTACGCGGCGCCCAACCAGCCGTGGCGACGAGGGACCGGTAGCGGTGTCAGTGCCTTCTCGAGAATCCTCGTCCTCTGCTACGCACCGATCCTGAGCACTGCACGTGTAGAGCACCAGCTGTGCCTGGAGACCCCGAACAGCCACTGCTGGCGTGCCTGCCCCGTCTCGGGGCTAATTACGTGGACCCTCGTGGACGGATCGGGCACGACAGGCCCTGCACACGGATCTGGTCGGGGCCTCTGGTCGTACAGTCGGGGCGCTGAAGAAGGAACCCTTTTCGTTTGGGAGGGGCTCAGTGTTCCTTCGTTGTTTTGCAGCTCGCCTTAGGTTTTCCTCAGGTCTTCGATCGGAATTCGAAGCTTAACTTATGGAAAAAAGGGGCCTCGTTCCTTATTTAGGGTTCCTTAGGTCAACGCCCCGACTGTAACTGTTTCACGGCGTGGTGACTCACGTTGGACGCCCGCGGTATCCTGAACAACTCCGGTCCAGGGTAAGTCTGGTTGGGGCCCCCGACGCACGAACCGGGAGCTACCCCCGACCACCCCCAGCCCCGATCCTTCGGGCGTGGTTGGACGCCAAATAATCGGGAGCGGCCAAGAGGGGGGTGTCCAAGAGGGGGGGTGCAAATCATGACCGGCGGCATGTGCGCGGCCCAGCGGGGGGGGCCAGGGACGTTTTGAAATAAGAAGAGGCGCCATGAAATCTGGGGAAATATCATGGCCCCCGCAATGATATCCACCCCCCCATAGTCATCAGCCCCCTCTTTTCCGCCCCCGAAATTGAATAACTCCAGTCCAATCAAACTCCGGTTCGGGCCAACGAGGCGCAGTTCAAGGGCTCCAGCCCTGATGATCCGGCCTCTGATCACGTTTCGGGTGTTGCTAGAAGTGGTCCTGGCCTAAAGCCTCCCTTGCTTCTCGCGCCAACTTGGATCACCCCGGGGGGCCATCTGGGTCCCGTGAGGCCGCTGGGGGCTACCCGGGAATCCTGGGGGCACTTTGGGCCACACATTTTGGGCGACACCCGAGCTCTTTCACAATGCAGGATACAGGATCCATCGCCGGATCCCGACGCTGATCTGGACGGCCTGGTCCAGTCCAGGGCGCGGAGCTCGACCGCCCCTGGCCCGATGAAGCCCAGATCTGCGGACGGGGGCATGATCGATGTGTCGTGATCGTCTGGGGTCGAAGCCCGCCACCAGGAAGGAGACACCGAAGGGGCGCAGACCTCCGTACTGCGTGTAGCCCTGCTTCTCGTTGCAGATGGAGGTGACCAGGGGCTCCACTGGCATGGGCTCGCCATAGACGTAGGCGTGCCGCCGCGCAGTCAGCCGCAGTTTGTCGATCAAGATGTTCGCGTCCGAGGGGATGCCCGCGACGGCACAGAACATGTGCGAGTCGATCTGAAAGATCTTCTCGTGCTGCTTCGCCTGATCCAACAATTTGGAGATCGTCTTCTTTTCGCCTGCGAGCACCACTCCATCTGCTGCAAGTACCCCGACGGTAGAACCAGCAAGGTTGATGGCCTCCATCGCGTACTCTACCTGTCAAGCACACATCTGAAACCCGCTGGACATTATCGTGCCATTGATACTCATGTATGTGCCCTTCCTCCAATTCATACTCTCACGCAATGGCTCCACGTTGTGAGGCAGAAAACCACTGGACAAGCAGGGAATGTCACACAAGACTACGGCAAGAGCGCACGCGCGAAAGGAAGGAGACATAACAGGGAAGGCAGCGGACGGCAAGTAAAGTGCGTCGTGCCTTCGGTAAGCCCATAACGGGAATGACCTTACAGAAGGCTCTCGGAACGTAAGCCTGCCGAGCAGATGCGACAAGCCCACCTGGAAGCTGCAGCGAGCCCACAGAGCTACGCCTCATTCAAGTCGGACGGCACAGATGATAGACCAGTGATAGACAAGTGCGTGCTAGTCGAACGCACTACAATAGAAACATACGACACCGAAATCTTGCTAACAGAAATCTAGAAATCTTTGGACGCATTCTTCATCAATCCTTCAGGGTCCTAAGGTGCCCCAGAGCTTCTGTGGGTCCCACGGGCCATCGGGGAATGAGAACCTTCTGCGGGACACATGCTGGCCAGCCGATTTCATTGCTTTACAACTACCAAACCATACGGGCGACTCCGAACCCCTGGGTACGCCGACGTGTTGCCCCCTCTCGGGGCGCCTAACCTCGCTTCCACCAGCTTGCACCGAACTGCCAGAGGCCTCGGCCGGTGAACGAGAGGTTGCCAATTCGGTTTCTCGGAGACCAGGCCTCCTGGGCACGCTCTCTATATGGGGTAATTCCACGAGCTCTTTGCAGTCGGCGCTGGACGCCCCTTCCCCCTGGCGCGCGAAGCGCGGCAGTGGTAGCGCCGGAGCTGCCGCCAGGGGACTTCGGGCACCCCCCTTGGAAAGGCGATTGCAGCGCGACTGCGGCGCCTGGGCGCGGACCCAAGGGGAGGGGAGCTCCTCCTCCTTCCTCCGCCTCCTTCCTCCTCCTCCTCCTCCTCCTCCTCCTCCTCCTCCTCCTCCTCCTCCTCCTCCTCCTCCTCCTCCTCCTCCTCCTCCTCCTACCCCCCCCTCCCACTCCTCCTCCGCCTCCTCCTCCTCCGGGGACAGCCATGGGAGGGTCAGCGAATCAGCTCGCGCAGCTGCTCTCCCCGGCGCCCCCCGGCGCGCCCCCCGGCGCCGTAGTGCCTCGAGGAAGCGTGGCACGGCGGCGGGGCCGAGAGCGGCGGAGGGCCGCAGCTGTCGTACCAACCCCCCTTGGGGGCCTGGAAATGGGCACCAACACCAAGACAGGGGGCTGCCTCCACAGGGGGGAGATGATCCTAGATTTTGGTCTTGGTGGTAATACTTCGGCCACCTTGGAAGCCACATTATTACCACCATCACCGAGATCGGGACCTTCTCCCCTCGGTGGAGGAACACCGCCGCTATTGGTGTTGGTGTCAACCTCTAGGCCTGCGACCCCCTGGCTTCGTGCAGCCCGTGCCCGCCCCCCTGCTCTCGTCCAAGCTGGACCTCTCGTCGGTCGGCCTCCCAGGGCTCGAGACAGGCTCGGCGACCAGGGCGACCCGGCTGTTCGCTGCAGCTGGCCCTCCTCGGCACTGGATCTCATCTGTCGGAGCTCCGCGCGGAAGCCTTGGATCGGCGCTGGCCCCCTGGTCGTTTCCCAGGCCTTTCTGCCCCCCTCGCCCGACCCCCGGCACGGCGGGCCCAGCGCGCCTGGTACAGGCGGCCCTCGGGCGAGAAGGTTGTGGTTCGGGAGTCATACCTGCGTGGCCGGCAGGAGGGCCCAGTGGCAGCCCAGGAAAGGCAGAAGAGAGGGAGCTTTCAGGTAGGATGTCAGCCTCTCCTCATCCTTTGCCTCGGTTTGCTCCTCCTCCTCCTCCTCCTCCTCCTCCTCCTCCTCCTTCTCCTCCTCCTCCTCGACTCCCCGACTCAGTGGCACTTTCCATTGGCCCAGGTGACGCGGGAGCCCTCTTGGGAGTATGCAGGGGGAGCGTCCGTCCTCGATAAGGGGTTCGTCCAAGCAGCCCCCTGGGATGTATCCCCGAGATCCCCTTCTTCTCTAAGCGACAAGTCTGGGGGCAAGAAATGGGCTGCGGCCCAAGGAGACGGATCTGGCCGAAAGTATGTATTTATCTCCTCCTCCTGCTCAAGAAAACCTAAATATTAATTATAATCATATAAAAACAAGAAGACAAATCAAAAACATACTACGTAGTATCAATTCATATTGAAACCACGAAAATGATAATCCGATTAAGAATGATACCACGACTAGTAATAATCTTACTAATAATAGTATCCCAGTGCGACCCTACCTAGGAGTTGGAGCAGTTAGGAAAGCAGCATCTACATCTACACCGGCAGCTACATTTACACATACACCTGCATCTACATCTACATCAACATCGACAGCGAGACTCACATCTACATCTACATCTGCATATACACCTACATCTACACCTACATATACGTCTACATCTGCATCTACATCTACACCTACATCCACATCTAAACCTACACCTACATCTACATCTACATCTACATCTACAATTTCGCATTCGTATGCTATGCTCTGCTATGATGTGCTATGTTATGCTCTGCTGCGCTGTGTTATGCTAAGCAATGCTATGATATGCTATGATATGATGCGCTATGCTATGATATGCTATGATATGATATGGTCTGTTATGCTATGCTGAACTATGATATGATGTGCTATGCTATGCTTGGCTATGTTATGATATGCTGTGCTGTGCTAATACTGCGCTGCGCTATGCTGCGCTGCGCTAAGCTAAGCTAAGCTAAGCTAGGCTAGGCTAAGCTAAGCTAAGCTAAGCTAAGCTCGGCCAAGCTAAGCTAAGCTAAGCTAAACTAAGCCAAGCTAAGCTAAGTTAAGCTAAGCTAAGCTGAGCTAAGCTAAGCTAAGCTGGGCTAAGCTGAGATGAGATAAGCTAAGCGAAGCTAAGCTAAACGAAGCTAAGCTAAGCTGGGTTAGGCCAAGCTAAGCTGAGCTAAGCTAAGCTAGGATGAGATAAGGACCGCTAAGCTAAGGGAACGTCACTGGGGGGACCGCGGGGCGGATCCTGGGGGAACCGCCCGGGGCGAGCCCCACTGCCCGGCCCTTCAAGCACACCGAGTAAGAACCCTTCCAGGCAGAGGCTAGGTAGGGAACAAATGATAATAATTATAAAATTATACAACTAACAATACTAATACTAATACTAATACTAGTAGTAGAAGTAGTAGTAGTAGTAGTAGTAGTAGTAGTAGTAGTAGTAGTAGTAGTAGTAGTAGTAGTAGTAGTAGTAGTAGTAGTAGTAGTAGTAGTAGTAGTAATAGTAATAGTAGTAGTAGTAGTAATAATAATAATAACCTTAATGGTGCGAAGAATAACGTGAATAAAAACGAAAGAGAAGAATAACAAAAAACAGAATGGAGAAAAATAATAAGTAGAAGAAGACGAACGAGGAGAACCATCCCCCTCCAGGCCGAAGGACTGAGGACAGAAGGGTAAAGGCGTTCCTCTGCTCCCTGCGCAACGACAGGATGACATTCGATCACCTCACATGCCCGACCCCCTGCAACTTGAGCTGGGGACCCTCCTGGAGTTGGCTGGCAGGCCCCTCCTGCAGCCAGACCCCCAGCCCGCCGAAGCTAGTCGAAAAACCCAGAATCATTGGCCCAGTAACACACCATTTCTGAGAGCCTTGCTGAGCTGGCTGGAAAAATCTTCGGCGGACGAAACGCCGGCGCCAGCCTGCCTGTGAACCGCTGCACGCCGCCACGCGACAGCCGAGACCTAGCTCATTCTCCCTAAACTCCCCGACACAACGAAACACATGTCACGGTCTCACGGTGTCCCTGGGTGCGGTTCCGCGGTCTCACGGTCTCACGGCAATGCGCGGTGCGGATTGCCGTTCTTGTTTGTCGCCCCCGCCCCGCGAATCACCCGCGGCCCGCCCCGCGACCTACCCGCGACCCCCCCCCCGCGACCCACCCGCGACCTAGGCGACGCAACCGCGAACCACCAGGTGACCTACCCCACGACCCACCCATTTCCCACCGACACTGGTTGCCAAAACATGGCGCCTGCGGCGGGCTCGTTGTGCAAAAGGTGATTCTGAACTTTCTGTGATCAAAGATATACCAAACAAGAAAAGAATTGTACATCTGCTTCCACGCCTCTGAAGCTGTCGACGAAGCCCCCCGCCACTCCAATCCGCAACTCTCTGGGGCTGTGGTAGAATAGCAGGTTGTCTGCAGCTCCTGTGGGTCGACCACATGCTCGCTTCTCCATCAGACCCAGCCCGTTGAGAAAATCACGCTGCGTTCAAACACGACTAATCCCAGCGCGCGCGCCGCCGCGCCTCAGGGACGGCCCCGCGGGCTCCCAGCTCACGTCGCCTCTACGGCGTCCACATCTCTGGGCCAGTGGTGCCCGTGACACCGTTCTGGAAGGCCATGCCGGTGATCGCCACCATCGCCAGGCGGCCGTTGTTGATCTCCGCGTCCAGGCTCCGCCTCAGAGGAAGAACAAAGACTGGGCAAACGGCAACGTTCGGAGGTCCGCGCGGATTTCCTGGATCGGCGCTGGAATGCCCATGGCGCGCTCCGCGCGCCAGGGAGGGAGGTCTGGCGCCGACCCAAGACATCCGCGCGGACTCGCGACAGTTTGCTTGTTGACGGCCCGGAAATTGGCACCAAGACCACCACAGGGGGTTGCCCGCACGGGGGACAGATGATCCTAGTTTTGGGTGCTGGTGGTGATATTCCGGCCACGCACGGAGCCCGAATATGACCGTCACCGAGATCGGGTTCATCTTCCCTCGGTGGAGGAAACCATCGGTATTGGTGTTGGTGTCATCGTCTAGGCCTCCGAATGACCTCCGAATGTGTGTGTTTGGATGTGTGTCGCTTTTGCTTCTTCGACTCCTGTTGGCGTCCGGGTCGCTGTCGCTGCCCGCGCGCCCGGCGACGAAGAACCAAGGGACACCAAGGCGGCCGCAGGAGGGGAAATCGCCGGGCGCCCTGTCCTTTTGTCGCATCGTCGGGGGAAGCTCGTCTGTCCCGTCGCGCCCCTCCCCGCGTCGAATCCGTGTCGAATCCATGTCGGACTCGTCGAGTCCGCGTCGAATCCACATCGAATCCGCGTCGAATCCACGCCAAAACCCGCGTCGAATCCGAACGCAACGGGCACAAGGAGGGACACCGATTTGGGGGACAGGCAAGGTCCCCCGAAGATGCAACGTGACTGTCCTTCTCCTGCCTCAGGGGGAAGAGCTCGAGGAAGGCGATGAACACCCCGATCTGCGCCCAGCCGTCGGCCGGCATCGCCTTGAGCGCCGCGAAGCCGTTCGGGATGTCGGTGAACTTGATCTCCTGGGACGGCGACAGGTAGCCGGGCCACCGGAAGTACTCGGGCACGATCCAGCCCATGCACGCGATCATCGCGACGCGGCCGTTCTTGATCTCAGCCTCGCGGCGGCGGCGGAACTCCAGCACGTCCCCGTCCTCGGACATGCCGAGGGGGTCCCAGTACTTGAACGGCGCCGTGACGCCGGTCTCGCTGGCGAAGGAGCGCAGGGGGCTGCCAGTGTAGAGGGCCCAGTCCCCCCACGCAGAACCGGTGAGGCCGTCCTGAAAGAACATGCCTATGATGGCCACCATGGCCAGGCGCCCATTCGAGATCTCGGCGCTCAGCTTCTTCGCCCTCAGCTTGGGATCCGTGATGGAGCCCCCGAGGCCGAGCGAGCCCAGGCCCAGGTTGCCCTTGCCGTAGTTGCCCGGCTCGGCGCTGGGCTTGTTGTACACCAGCTCGAGGAAGGCGATGAAGGCCGCGAACTGGGCCAGGCCCGCCGGGGGCACCTTCGACAGAGCGCCCAGGCCATTGGGGACGTCCTGGAATTGGATCCCCTGGGAGGGCGACAGGTAGCCAGGGAACTTAAAGTACTCGGGCACGATGTAGCCGATGGTCGCCAGCATGGAGACGCGACCGTGCTTCAGCTCCACCTCCCTGCGGCGCTTGAACTTCTCCACGTCCCCGTCCTTGGTAAAGCCGGCGGGGTCCCAGAAGCCTAGGGGCTCTTGGTCGCCGACCGAACCTGGGGGAACAAAAAGAGATACCCATCCATGCTGCCACTCTCCAGGCCTCGCCCAGGAGGTGCTCTGACCAGGATTTCGAGGCAAATCCAGCCGTGGCGACGAGGGCCAGGCCCAGGAAGGCGAAATCGGCGGTGGACCGGGGGGCGACCAGCATCGACATCAAAAGCCCTCCCCCGAGAGCCCTCGAAGCCGCTCGCGACCCCCTCCCACTCCGGCAGCGTGTTGTACCCGGGGCTCATCTTGCCGCTGGAGACAGGCGTCCTTGAGGGGGAAACGATAAGGAGAGACTGGCTCAGGGGAGTAAACATCGACTTGGAATCGGTGACACATCGCCGACAGATCGGCGATAGGCCTCCAATAGCCAATCCGCACGTTTCTTGGCGGGGTGGGCTATCAGGCCCCTGTCGGCGATGAACGGGCGAGCGCGCTTGGATGCAAGCCTCCTGGGCCCCTGGGCCACACTCGTTGACCGACGCCCCCACCGTACTCGGGACACCTGGCGGTTTTCGGGTCATGACTCGGGCCTCTGGCGGCCGTTCGGGACGTTCTTGGGCACCCCCAGAACGCTCTCGACGAGGCGCTGCTGAAGGAACGCACCACGAGGCTGGCAAACCGCCGAGAACATACGAAAACGCCCGAAAGCCTCGAGCGTCGATGGGCCCTGAACCGACGCCCCCACCGTACTCGAACCCCACTTGGGAGGCTTGGAGTCCTGGGCGCGGCCTGCCTGGATCGGCGGGCGCCGCCAGCCGCCAGCACCGCCGCGGCGGCGCCACAGCCCAGGGCGACGGTCGCGCCCGAGGAGGCGGAGCCCTCTGGCGCAGAACCTGGGAGGGCGCCAACTACACAACTACTTTGATCATAGCCAGGCCCATGAGCTGGTTGTATTTTTTTTCGCGATAACCCACGTCAGCGGGTGCCCACGTCATCCGGTGGGGGGGGGGTGCTGGCCAATAACCTGACCTCTTGGCTCTGGGCAGCCCCACGTATGCCCGCGCACACCAGTACTGCGCAAGTGACCAGGTCAGGCTGTCCCGGGGGGAGAGTGGGGGGGGGGCGGGTGGGCCCGACTAAAAAAAAACAGTCTCCCATACTACATACACCGATCCTGACCAAACCGATCCTGGGCCCAGCATGGCCAAGATCTGGTCGCCAACAACAATTCAAAAGATCACGACTGGAGCCCCGGACCCCATCTGCTTGCGTCATTTCTCCAGCCGGTCGATCTGTCGAGCGGATAGCGTGTCGCTCCGCTCGACGGGGCGCGAGGCTCCGAAAGGCTCGGGACGTTGACGCAGGGGGACCGGGAAGTGGTCAGCGCGTCGTGCCAAGCCAGAATTCGGGACCGTACCACCCCTCAGCTGTTCCGGCAGCAGTCTCGATCCGATGCGTTCTTTGCCCAGATGGCGCAGCCTACTTCCACGTGGAAGCGGGACCCGCCCGCTCCAAACTGGGATGCATACCACGAGCACCGCGGATACATCGAGCATACGCAACTGCGCGACCATGGTGCTCCTGCCCGTAGTTGGCGCCATCCGAGAACCCGCCGCGCCGCGCAGAGCGCGGGTTTCGGCGAGCGGCCGCGCGCCAACGCCCGGGGGGGCCGGGGCGAAGGCGCCGCCTGCTTTCCACAGCCCGAAGGCCGCGCCACCGGCGAGGAGGGCGGCGTTCCTCGACGACGACGACGACGACGACGACGACGACGACTACGACGACGGCGACGAGGACGACAAGGGCGACGACGAGGACAACGAGGACGGCGGCGGCGGCGGCGGTGCTGACACTGGTGTGATTCTTTCAACCCCGGCATGTTTGTTTCTCGATTGCGGCCTCTGGGGCTCGTTATAAGGCCCTGGGGCAGTCAGAAATGGACCCAGGGCAAAAAACTACGCCCGCGGAAGGGGTCGACACCTCCGCAACCGCGCATTGCAAAAAATCGCGCCGTCGGATGCCTGAGATTTCGAGGGGGGGACCGAAGCCCACCCCTCAAGCTTTGGAGAGTGAAAGTGGGGGTCGGGCGCAGGGTGCCGGCAATGGTGTCTCTGTGGGCCATGCATGGGCGATACATCCTCGATTGCTGTGTTCGGCGGGAGAACCACTTGAAACTCCCCGCCTGCACCCATGCGCGAGACCTGAGGGTAAACGACGCAAGGAAGTGGAGGGCAGGGGAAAGGCGACGAAGGCAACGTGCGCTGAGGGCACAATTTTCAAAAAGGTTGGACTAAACGAAAGCGGCGAAGTGAGTGTCAACATCTGCCCATCCAGTATGGCATGCGGAACACTGCGCCTCAGTCTTGGGGACCTTGAGGGCCAGGCCAAAATGTGAATTCACATTGGGGAAAAGCAAAATTTGATGTCACACTTGGGGAAAACAAATTCACATCTGGGATAAAAAAGGAAAAGGTGAACTCACAGTTTGGAGTTCTGTATAGGAATATGTATGAAGGGGCCAGAGTGTGGATTCACATGTTGGGAAGAAGGCAAATGTGAGTTCACATTTTGGAGAAAGAGAAAGATGTGAATTCACATTGTGGGGGAATCGCGGGACCCATTCAAAATCTGTCCTGGGGGTCGACAAGTCATCGTTTGGCAACATACACGATCATCAACCGCACAATCAAGACACACTTGCACTCCACTTCGCCGCCCCACGCGCGATGTGCAAGAACGCCCGCACGCGTGAACGATAATGGATGGACGGCGCGTTTGCCCGCGCGGGCACGAACGACTGGCCCTCCATGACCGCCAACACTGCATGCCAATCATACCCGATCACATGCATGAGCGATACGTTGAGCATACATGGGCCATTCAGCCCCCAATGAAGCCCCCCTGTTGCAGACCCCTTCTTTCACCCTCCAGAAGCTGCAGGCCAGGAGCGGCCCCTGGGCAGCCGACTTTTGTCTTGCTGCGCGGCGAGCCGGAAGCCGCACACCAGAGGCCACAGCGGCGACGGGGCCACACCTACGTGCAGGCGCTGCGTCAAAGGGGGCGGCATGTAGGGGGGTGGAGGAGAGAGGTGCACCTTTTCTGTACACTGAAGGGGCACTACTAGAGGGGCCCCCTGGGGACCCCAAAGGGGCAAGAAAGGTGCACGTTCCTTCCCCACCCACCCCCAATGGATCGCGCCCCCATTAAGCAACGTCCGATACGTGGAGCCGAATCCTTGGCCGGGGACCAGTGCATGCGCCCTTCTGGCTGGGCCAGGAAAGGCACGTCGTGCACCGATCCTGGCGCCAGGGTCGGCCATGCACCGCTAAGGCGGGGAATTGACGTTCCCCGGTCCTCGTCGACGCTGCCATGGCCAGCTGGCGGCTGGCAGACGTGGTGGAGATTGCGGGCTTCAAAAACCAAAACGGTCTGGAGCCAAGACGGATACGGGCGGGACGGCAGGAGAGGGAGGACGCGAAGGGAGAGGAGCAAGGAGAAAGAGGAGGAGGGAGAGGGGAGAAGAGGAGAAGAGAAGAGGAGAGAGGAGGAGCAATCAGCATTGAAACAACTGGTGGAAGAGAGTGGGGAGACAGGAGAAGGCAAGCTAGGCGCGGTCGCAACATCTGACATCCTACGACCTCTATCCCAAACATCCCTTCCCAATGCGTTGGATCCGTTTCCACCCGCCGACCGTGACTTCCTAGAGGACCTTGGTGCCCACATGGCAGCTGCAAGAGTTAACCCATCAGCTGCTACGGGAAGGCAGAAGTTCGTATGAGAAGGAAGAGGAAGGCAGGAGAAGGAGGAGGAGTAGGAGCAGGAGGGGGGGGGATGAGGAGGAGCAGCAGGATCAGGACCTGGGCCGGCCACATCCCCAGCGGATAGACTTACCCCCAGCAGACCTAGCAGACGACCAGGAACCGGGGGAGACCCGAAGCTTCCCGAGGAAATGGATCCATTCAAACCCCTGCAACCAAGCAGTTCTGCAACTTGTGCTCATATGGGACAGCCACGACATAGGCATGCTTTGCCCAGAGGGTGCTAGGGAGGAGGAGGAGGAGGAGGAGGAGGAGGAGGAGGAGCATAGGCAGCAGCAAGAGGAAGTGGACGAGCAGGAGGACGAGGAAATGTGAAGAGGAGCAGGAGCAGTAATTATAGCAGATAGGTCAGAAGGATCAGAAAGAGCAGGAAAATCAGCGGAAGGCGGGGGAGGAGAAAAAGGGATGGCTGCAACGGCGAGAAACAGACCGGATCCAGAAATGTGACCCGCGCTTGGGCATGAGCACCCTTCTGAACGACGGGGGCAAGGCGAACCGATGCCCCGCGGCACTGCGCTGCCCGGGAACACTGGGCATGGTGGGAAATCCCACGCCTCACTCGCAGGTCGAGCGCACGAGCACCCTGCCAGTCTCCAGCACGGTGCTCGGGCCCAAAGGGGTCTGCCGCCGTCGACGTCGTTGTCGTCGTCCTGGCCGCCGCCGCCGTCGTCGTCGTCGCCGCCGCCGCCGTCGTCGTCGTCGTCCTCGCGCTCGCTGCCGTCGCCGTCGCCGCCAGACCGCCAGCGCCTCCGCCAGGGGGGCTGTCCGAGCGAAGGGGGTCGCAGGTCGTGGCTCGAGGCACGTGCGTGGCCCAGGGGGGGGAGGGCCCAGGGACGCGTTGAGAGAAGAAGACGTGGCCAGAAAGTCCGGGGAGATGCGCATCGTGGACACATCGGCCATGACATGCACGCAGTCGGGGATGTTCTCCTCTCCCCCCTCCTCAAAAGAAGAAAAGAACATGGAGAAGAAGAACAAGAAGACGAAGAAGGAGAAGACGAAGAAGGAGAACCACCCCCCTACAGGCCCAAGGACTGAGAACAGAAGGGTAAAGGCGTTCCTCTGCTCCACGCGCAACGACAGGATGACATTCGATCACCTCACAAGACCGACCCCCTTCAACTTGAGGTGGGGACCCTCCTGGAGTTGGCTGGCAGGCCCCTCCTCCAGCCAGAACCCCAGCGCGCTGAAGCTGCTCGAAAAACCCAGAAACACTGACCCAACAACACACCCTTTCTGAGAGCCGTGCTGAGCTGGCTGGAAGAATCTTCGGCGGACGAAACGCCAGCGCCAGCCTGCCTGTGCACCGCTGCACGCCGCCACGCGACAGCCGAGACCTAGCTCATTCTCCCTAAACTCCCCGACACAACGAAACACATGTCACGGTCTCACGGTGTCCCTGGGTGCGGTTCCGCGGTCTCACGGTCTCACGGCAATGCGCGGTGCGGATTGCCGTTCTTGTTTGTCGCCCCCGCCCCGCGAATCACCCGCGGCCCGCCCCGCGACCTACCCGCGACCCCCCCCCGCGACCCACCCGCGACCTAGGCGACGCAACCGCGAACCACCAGGTGACCTACCCCACGACCCACCCATTTCCCACCGACACTGGTTGCCAAAACATGGCGCCTGCGGCGGGCTCGTTGTGCAAAAGGTGATTCTGAACTTTCTGTGATCAAAGATATACCAAACAAGAAAAGAATTGTACATCTGCTTCCACGCCTCTGAAGCTGTCGACGAAGCCCCCCGCCACTCCAATCCGCAACTCTCTGGGGCTGTGGTAGAATAGCAGGTTGTCTGCAGCTCCTGTGGGTCGACCACATGCTCGCTTCTCCATCAGACCCAGCCCGTTGAGAAAATCACGCTGCGTTCAAACACGACTAATCCCAGCGCGCGCGCCGCCGCGCCTCAGGGACGGCCCCGCGGGCTCCCAGCTCACGTCGCCTCTACGGCGTCCACATCTCTGGGCCAGTGGTGCCCGTGACACCGTTCTGGAAGGCCATGCCGGTGATCGCCACCATCGCCAGGCGGCCGTTGTTGATCTCCGCGTCCAGGCTCCGCCTCAGAGGAAGAACAAAGACTGGGCAAACGGCAACGTTCGGAGGTCCGCGCGGATTTCCTGGATCGGCGCTGGAATGCCCATGGCGCGCTCCGCGCGCCAGGGAGGGAGGTCTGGCGCCGACCCAAGACATCCGCGCGGACTCGCGACAGTTTGCTTGTTGACGGCCCGGAAATTGGCACCAAGACCACCACAGGGGGTTGCCCGCACGGGGGACAGATGATCCTAGTTTTGGGTGCTGGTGGTGATATTCCGGCCACGCACGGAGCCCGAATATGACCGTCACCGAGATCGGGTTCATCTTCCCTCGGTGGAGGAAACCATCGGTATTGGTGTTGGTGTCATCGTCTAGGCCTCCGAATGACCTCCGAATGTGTGTGTTTGGATGTGTGTCGCTTTTGCTTCTTCGACTCCTGTTGGCGTCCGGGTCGCTGTCGCTGCCCGCGCGCCCGGCGACGAAGAACCAAGGGACACCAAGGCGGCCGCAGGAGGGGAAATCGCCGGGCGCCCTGTCCTTTTGTCGCATCGTCGGGGGAAGCTCGTCTGTCCCGTCGCGCCCCTCCCCGCGTCGAATCCGTGTCGAATCCATGTCGGACTCGTCGAGTCCGCGTCGAATCCACATCGAATCCGCGTCGAATCCACGCCAAAACCCGCGTCGAATCCGAACGCAACGGGCACAAGGAGGGACACCGATTTGGGGGACAGGCAAGGTCCCCCGAAGATGCAACGTGACTGTCCTTCTCCTGCCTCAGGGGGAAGAGCTCGAGGAAGGCGATGAACACCCCGATCTGCGCCCAGCCGTCGGCCGGCATCGCCTTGAGCGCCGCGAAGCCGTTCGGGATGTCGGTGAACTTGATCTCCTGGGACGGCGACAGGTAGCCGGGCCACCGGAAGTACTCGGGCACGATCCAGCCCATGCACGCGATCATCGCGACGCGGCCGTTCTTGATCTCAGCCTCGCGGCGGCGGCGGAACTCCAGCACGTCCCCGTCCTCGGACATGCCGAGGGGGTCCCAGTACTTGAACGGCGCCGTGACGCCGGTCTCGCTGGCGAAGGAGCGCAGGGGGCTGCCAGTGTAGAGGGCCCAGTCCCCCCACGCAGAACCGGTGAGGCCGTCCTGAAAGAACATGCCTATGATGGCCACCATGGCCAGGCGCCCATTCGAGATCTCGGCGCTCAGCTTCTTCGCCCTCAGCTTGGGATCCGTGATGGAGCCCCCGAGGCCGAGCGAGCCCAGGCCCAGGTTGCCCTTGCCGTAGTTGCCCGGCTCGGCGCTGGGCTTGTTGTACACCAGCTCGAGGAAGGCGATGAAGGCCGCGAACTGGGCCAGGCCCGCCGGGGGCACCTTCGACAGAGCGCCCAGGCCATTGGGGACGTCCTGGAATTGGATCCCCTGGGAGGGCGACAGGTAGCCAGGGAACTTAAAGTACTCGGGCACGATGTAGCCGATGGTCGCCAGCATGGAGACGCGACCGTGCTTCAGCTCCACCTCCCTGCGGCGCTTGAACTTTTCCACGTCCCCGTCCTTGGTAAAGCCGGCGGGGTCCCAGAAGCCTAGGGGCTCTTGGTCGCCGACCGAACCTGGGGGAACAAAAAGAGATACCCATCCATGCTGCCACTCTCCAGGCCTCGCCCAGGAGGTGCTCTGACCAGGATTTCGAGGCAAATCCAGCCGTGGCGACGAGGGCCAGGCCCAGGAAGGCGAAATCGGCGGTGGACCGGGGGGCGACCAGCATCGACATCAAAAGCCCTCCCCCGAGAGCCCTCGAAGCCGCTCGCGACCCCCTCCCACTCCGGCAGCGTGTTGTACCCAGGGCTCATCTTGCCGCTGGAGACAGGCGTCCTTGAGGGGCAACGATAAGGGGAGACTGGCTCAGAGGAGTAAACATCGACTTGGAATCGGTGACACATCGCCGACAGATCGGCGATAGGCCTCCAATAGCCAATCCGCACGTGTCTTGGCGGGGTGGGCTATCAAGCCCCTGTCGGCGATGAATGGGCGAGCGCGCTTGGATGCAAGCCTCCTGGGCCCCTGGGCCACACTCCTTGACCGACGCCCCCACCGTACTCGGGACACCTGGCGGTTTTCGGGTCATGACTCGGGCCTCCGGCGGCCGTTCGGGACGTTCTTGGACACCCCCAGAACGCTCTCGACGAGGCGCTGCTGAAGGAACGCACCACGAAGCTGGCAAACCGCCGAGAACACACGAAAACGCCCGAAAGCCTCGAGCCTCGATGGGCCCTGAACCGACGCCCCCACCGTACTCGGACCCCACTTGGGAGGCTTGGAGTCCTGGGCGCGGCCTGCCTGGATCGGCGGGCGCCGCCAGCCGCCAGCACCGCCGCGGCGGCGCCGCAGCCCAGGGCGGCGGTCGCGCCCAAGGAGGCGGAGCCCTCCGGCGGAGAACCTGGGAGGGCGCCAACTACACAACTACTTTGATCATAGCCAGGCCCATGAGATCGTTGTTTTATTTTTCCGCGTCATCTGGTAGGGGGGGGGAGGAGGTGCTGGCCAATAACCTAACCTCTTCGCTCTGGGCAGCCCCACGTATGCCCGCGCACACCAGCACTGCGCACCCCTTTCGGACCTGCACAAATGACCAGGTCAGGCTGTCCCGGGGGGAGAGTGGGGGGGGCGGGCTGGCCCGACTAAAAAAGAACAGTCTCCCATACACATACACCGATCCTGGCCAGACCGATCCTGGGCCAAGCATGGCCAAGATCTGGTTGCCAACAACAATTCACAAGATCACGACTGGAGCCCCCGACCCCATCTGCCTGCGTCATTTCTCCAGCCGGATCGAGCTGCCATTCGGGCGGATAGCGTGTCGCTCCGCTCGACGGGGCCTGAGGCTCCGAAAGGCTCGGGACGTTGACGCTGGGGGACCGGGAAGTGGTCAGCGTGTCGTGCCAAGCCAGAGTTCGGGACCGTACCACCCCTCCGCTGTTTCAGCAGGAGTCTCGATCCGATGCGCTCTCTGCCCAGAGGGCGCAGCCTGCTTCCACGCGGAAGCGGGACCCGCCCGCTCCAAAATGGGATGCCTACCGCGAGCACCGCGGATACGTCGAGTATACGCAACTGCGCGGCCATGGTGCTCCTGCCCGTAGTTGAAGGGGCCCTGGGACACACAAACAAATACACACACAAGTAACAGGATCCCCCATACTTTCCTGTACTTTCTGGGTTCTTGGCTTCCCCCCCCCTTCCCATATTTTCCCATATTTTCTGGGGGATCGACGACGAATCGTGTCTGTGTGTGTTTTCGTTCCCTCGTGAATAGCTGGCGCCCTCCGAGAACCCGCCGCGCCGCGCAGCGCGCGGGCCTCGGCGGCCGGCCGCGCGCCTGCGCCCGGGGGGGCCGGGGCGAAGGCGCCGCCCGCCTTCCACAGCCCGAGGGCCGCGCCACCGGCGAGGAGGGCGGCGTTCCTCGACGACGACGACGATGACGACGACGACGACGACGAGGACGACGACGACGAGGACGACGGCGACGAGGACGAGGACGACGGCGACGAGGACGACGACGGGGACGACGACGACCACGACGGCGACGAGGACGACGACGGGGACGACGAGGACGACGGCGGCGGCGACGAGGACGACGAGGACGGCGATGACGACAACGACGACGGCGACGAGGACGACGACGGCAACGAGGACGACGACGACGACGAGGACGACGACGACGACGACGACGACGACGACGACGACGACGACGACGACGACGACGACGACGACGACGACGGCGACGAGGACGACGACGACGACGACGACGGCGGCGAGGACGACGACGGCGACGAGGACGACGAGGGCGACGACGAGGACGACGAGGACGGCGGCGGCGGCGGTGCTGACAATGGTGTGATTCCCGGGCATGTTTTTTTTTTCGATTGCGGCCTCTGGGGCTCGTTATAAGACCCCGGGCCAAAGAACTACGCCCGCGGAGCGGGTCGAGACCTCTGCAGCCGCGCATTGCAAAAATTGAGCCGTCGGATGCCTGAGAATTCGGGGGGGGTCCGAGGCCCACCCCCCCAAGCTTTGGAGGCTGAATGTGGGGGTCGGGCGCAGAGTCCTGGCAATGGTCTTTATGGGCCATGCATGGGCGATACATCCTCGATTGCTGTGTTCGGCGGGGGAACCAATTGAAACTCCCCATGCGCGAGACTTGAGGGTAAGCAAAACAAGGGGGCGGGGGGCGGGGGAAAGGCGACGAAGGCAACGTTCGCTGAGGGCGCAATTAAAAAAGGTTGGGATCAACGAAAACGGCGAGGTGAGTGTCAACGTCTGCCCAGCCAATTTGACATGCGGAACACTGCGCCTCAGTTTTTGCGATCTTGAGGGCCAGACCAACATGTGAATTCACAATGTGGGGAAAACTACATGTGAATTCACATTTGGGGTTGGGGGAAATTTGAAATCACATTTGGGAAACATGTGAAATCACATTTGGGAATTTAGCATCGGAATATGTATGAAAGGGGCCAGAGTGTGAATTCACATGTTAGGAAGAAGGAACATGTGATTTCACATTTCGGAAAAAGGGAAGATGTGAATTCACATGTTGGGGGAACCGCGGGACCTATTCCAAACCTGTCTTGGGGGTCGACAAGTCAGCATTTGGGAACATACACGATCATCAACCGCACAATCAAGACACACTTGCACTCCACTTCGCCGCCCCACGCGCGATGTGCAAGAACGCCCGCACGCGTGAACGATAATGGATGGACGGCGCGCTTGCCCGCGCGGGCAACGCGCGGGCACGAACGACTGGCCCTCCATGACCGCCAACACTGGATGCCAATCATACCCGATCACGTACATGAGCGATACAGTGAGCATACATGGGCCATTCAGCCCCCATTGGAAGACCCCCTGTTGCAGACCCCTTCTTTCACCCTCCAAAGGCTGCATGCTAGGAGCGGCCCCTGGGCAGCCGAGTTTCTTCTTGCTGCGCGGCGAGCCGATCGTGGCGCGCGGTGCGGCAACCGCGGCCTGCGTGCCTAGGCTTGGCGCTTGGTCCCTCCGCCCGCGCATCCCGGAAGCCGCACACCAGAGGCCACTCCGGCGAGGGGGCCACACCTACGTGCGTAAAGGGGGGCGGCATGTAGGGAGGTGGAGGAGAAAGGTGCACCTTTTCTGTGCCCTGAAGGGGCACTACTAGAGAGGCCCTCTGGGGACCCCAAAGGGGCAAGAAAGGTGCACGTTCCTCCCCCACCCACCCCCAATGGATCGCGCCCCCATTAAGCAACGTCCGATACGTGTAGCCGAATCCTGGGCCGGGCACCAGTGCATGCGCCCTCCTGGCTGGGCCGGGAGAGGCATGTCGTGCACCGATCCTGGCGCCAGGGTCGGCCATGCACCGCTAAGGCGGGGAATTGACGCCCCCCGATCCTCGTCGACGCCGCCATGGCCAGCTGCCGGCTGGCAGACGTGGTGGAGATTGCGGGCTTCAAAAACCAAAACGGTCTGGAGCCAAGACGGATACGGGCGGGACGGCAGGAGAGGGAGGACGCGGAGGGAGAGGAGCAAGGAGAAAGAGGAGGAGGGAGAGGGGAGAAGAGAAGAAAAGAAGAGGAGAGAGGAAGAGCAAATAGTATTGAAACAACCGGTGGAAGAGAGAGGTGAGACAGGAGAAGGCAAGCTAGGCGCGGTCGCAACATCTGACATCCTACGACTTCTGTCCCACCCATCCCTTCCCACTGCGTTGGATCCTTTTCCATCCGCCGACCGTGACTTCCTACCTTGGTGCCCACATGGCAGCTGCAGGACTTGACCCATCAGCTGCTGCGGAACGGCAGAGGTTCGTATGAGAAGGGAAAGGAAGGCAGGAGGAGGAGGAGGAGGAGGAGGACAGGGAGGAGGAGGAGGAGGAGGAGGAGGAGGAGGAGGAGGAGGAGGAGGAGGGGGAGGGGGAGGAGGATGAGGAGGAGCAGCAGGATCAGGCCCTGGGTCGGCCACAGCCCCAGCGGATAGACTTACCCCCGGCAGACCTAGCAGACGACTGGGAACCGCGGGAGACCCGAAGTTTCCCGAGGAAATGGATCCATTCAAACGCCTGCGCCTAAGCATTTCTGCCACTTACGCTCATATGGGACAGCCACGATATCGTACCCAGCAAGACCTTCTTTACCCAGTGGGTGTTAGGGAGTAGGAGTAGGAGGGTGAGGAGGAGGAGGAGGAGGAGGAGGAGGAGGAGCAGGAGCAGGAGCAGGAGGAGGAGCAGTAGCAGCAGCAACAGGAAGCGGATGAGCAGGAGGATGGAGAAATGTGAAGAGGAGCAGGAGCAGTAGCAGGAGGATCAGATGGATCAGAAGGAGCAGGAAGATCAGCGGAGGGCGGAAGAGGAGAAGAATGGATGGCTGCAACGACGAGAAACAGATCGGATCCAGAGGTGTGACTCGCGCTTGAGCATGAGCACCATTCTGAACGACGGGTGCAAGGCGAGCCAATGGCCCGCGACAGAACGCTGCCTGGGAGCACATGCGGCATGGTGGGAGTCCCACACGTCGCATTCGCAGGCCGAGCGCACGAACACCCTGACAGTCTCCAGCACAGTGCTCGGGCCCGGAGGGTCCGCCGCCGTCGAGAATGTGGCCGAGCTCGTCGTCGCCGCCACCGCCATCATCGTCGTCGTCGCGCTCGCTGTCGCCGCCCTCCGCCAGCGCCTCCGCCCTCGCGGGCGTCCACGCGGGGGGGTCGTAAATCATGGCCCGAGGCACGTGCGTGGCCCAGGGTGGGGAGGGGCAAGGGACGTGTTGAAAGAAGAAGATGTGGCCATGAAGTCCGGGGAGATACGCATCGTGGAGATATCGGCCATGACATGCACCCCCCTCTTGCAGAGGCCGCTCAGATAGGGCGCGAGTAGATTGGGTCGGAGGGTCTCGCCGCATCGTCGACGCATTCACGATGCATCGGAAACGTGGGCGATGCATCGACGACGTCCGTGTGGAAAAGATCGGGCTCAACATCGAGCCGCACCGCCGATGCATCGGCGATGTGGCACGATTCTCCGACCCTATCTACTCTGACCCCATCTGAGAAGCCTTGATTTGGAGGCGACCAGGGGGTCTGAATTGGATGGGCCCGAGAAAATCTGTTAAGATGGGGGGGGAAGACCTCTGCTGGGGTCCATCTGGTTCAGCTGTTTCCCCTGGACCCATGTTTGACAATTCCAGAGCCCGTAAAAGGTCCCCGGAGACGGAAAAAGGCAAAAAGCAACCCAGAGCCCTGAACCACGGCCTTCGCCCCCAGTCACCTCCCCCCCTCTGTCTCTGTCCTGGCTCCTGACTCTGTGGGTGGGGGCCCAGCGCTGACGCCCAGGCAGCAGCGGGACCCACCGAGGCCCGAACAGAGACGAACGAGCCAGGGCCAGAGGGCCTCCGCCCCCCTCCCGGCCGCCCCCCCTCGGCGGTTTCGGCCGCTGCCCGCGCGGGGCCTGCGGGCCATGGCGCGAGAAGGGCGGCGGCGCGGGGGGCCGAGGCGCGAGGCGGGGCGGGGCCGGGCGGCGCGGAGGGCCCTCGCCGCGGGCCCACCACGGCCCGTCTCCCCCCGGGGAGCCCTCCCCCCCGTCCCCCCGTGTGGGGGGTCGAGGATGGAGGATCGAGGAGGAGGAGGAGGAGGAGGATTCGGCGGGCAGCCGGCTGCGCTCCTGCTGACCAGCGTGTCGCCTCTCCTCGAGGAACGAATGCGGCGCCAGCGCAACGTTTCGGAGGTCTCCGCCGCTGTCTGGGATCGGCGCCGGGCCCCGGGCGGCGCCTGCGGCGCCGCCCCTGACACGCTCCGCGGCGAGGAGGAGGACACCTTCTCAGCCAAGGTGCGCCCAATCGGCACTGAAAACGAGGCCCTCACTTATGACTTGAGCACCAGTGCGCCACTAGCGAGCTGTGGCCTTCAGCCAAACTGGGAAGGAGGGAAGTCAGGGGGCTCGGGATCTTGCGCCTACACATCGCGACCGCGAGAGGGGGGGAAGGCACCCCCCTCGAAGCCAGCGGGCCGACATTGGGCCGCGCCGAGACACCGCTGTGGTAGCCACCCCCACCCCACAGGCTTCCCCACGGAGCGAGAGGGAGGCAGGGAGGGGCCAGGAGGAGGAGGACCAGTGTCAACCAAAGACGCATCAACGATGCTGCAATAACCCCTCCCCTCAAATGCCCTCTTCACAAGTCTCTGCAACAGTTGAATTTCTGCGCAGAAATGGCCGAAGAAGAAAACCGTCTGAGAATCCTCAATCGTGGAAAACACAATTCCCGGGACTTCAACGCTGCAGATCAACGTGACGGCTGCGTCCTGACAGCCCTATATGGTGCCAGGACACCATTCCTGTGACTTCAACTGCACACATCCTTGAAACTGTCGCACACGTTTGAAACGAATGTGAGCCGCGCTAGTGCGGATCACATTTTGAACAAAAACACGCCCTCCACGTGTTGAAACTGTCGCAAACGTTTCAAAAGAATGCACCCGGCGCTAGAGCGAGAACCACATTTTGAAAACGACCTCCGCTCCATCAGCGAAAATGTCGCAGACTTTAAAGACGAATGTGCGCGGCGCTGAAGACGGAACCACATTTTGAAAACGACTTCCGCTCCATCCGCGAAACACCTGCAAAGTGTAAAGAAGAGTATGCGCGGCGCTGAGGCGAGAGCCACATTTGGAAAACGACCTCCGCTCCATCCGCGAAACTGTCGCAAACGTTAAAGACGAATGTGCGCGACGCGAAGGCGAGAGCCACATTCTGAAAACCACACGCCGTCCACCAGTGAAACTGTTGCAGGTTTAAAATATCAGGGCGACAATTGGTGAGAAAGTCTTCAGCGAAACGCCCGGCCCGCCCTACCTACACGCCTGGAGGTGCGACAGAGCGGAGATATTCATGAGGAAGAGGGATAGAGGAGGAGAAGGAGGAGGAGGAGGAGGATCGACGATCGAGGATCGAGGATAAAAGGGGGGATCTAGGACTGCCTACCTACGAAACCAACCCAACCTAACACGAAGACCCAAATTTCAGGTTGGGGGGGTACGGGTTCCATATGTGCCGTTGCAGTGATCCCCGACGGCCCCACCACTGGGAATGGAGGGCAAACTGGAGCCTTCGGGTTGGGCTGGGGTGTTTTGGTGGGTGGTGAAGGACGGAGGTTCGAATGTCGAGGGTCGGGGACGCGAGGAGTCGAGAGTGGGGGAGGATGATCAGAGGGGTCGAGGATCGCGGGTCGCGCATCATGACTTGACCGCTTCTTTACCATATTCATATGGAGTCCAGCTACACTGCCAGCAAGATCCCAGACAGGAAAGACGATCTTCAGCGTAGCACAGGTGCGGGACGTGGCTGAACCTGTGTAAGAAAAGGAGAATGGGGGAGGACGATCGGGGATCGAGGATTGAGGAGGAGGAGGAGGATCGAAGATCCAGGATCGAGAAGGAGAAAGAGGAGGATGAAGGAGGCTTGAGGAACGAGAACCGCGGAGGAAGACCTCGGAGAAGGGGGGGGGTCTTCGAAAGTGTCCTCCTCCCGCTGTCACCCGTCCCCATTCGACGTCATCGTCCTGCTCACGCTCGGAGGAGGCTCTCCCAGCTGTTCCTAGGCATTCCTGGAGGTGCTCGGGCACCGAATGTCCTCCACAGGCTGCACCTCGTCGAGAGCCTCCCGCGATGCCCAGGGTCGTCCCGAGCGGCCATCGGGGCGCGAACTACGGCCCGAGCGCCGAGCCGAGAGGGAGCGGCCAGGGAGTCTGACGCGCTCCGCCGCTTCGGCGGTGTTTGGGGGGTGCCAGCGTCGCCGCGGGCGGGCCCCCCCCCCCCAGGCCTTCTGGAGAAGGTCCGGGGGCCCGCCCCGAGATGGGCGGGGAGCTGCCCCGGTCCTGCTCCCGCACAGGCGGAGGAGTAGGAGCTTCCTCGTCCTCCTCCCCCTCCCCCTCCCCCTCCTCCTCCTCCTCCTCCTCCTCCTCCTCCTCCTCCTCCTCCTCCTCCTCCTCCTCCTCCTCCATCTCCCTCCTCCTCCTCCTGGTGGATCGGCAGGACTGACCCAAAATCCGCCGACCCTGTCGGCGTGTGGCAGAGGCTGTTCCGTTTGACTCATCGTCGTCGTTGTCGTCGCGGTCGTTGTTGTCGTCGTCGTCGCCTTCGCCGCTCGCCTCCCGCCCGTCGCCGCTCCCTCCAATTTCACCGGGTTCTCCTCCTCCAGCGCGCCAGCCACAGCGAAATTGAGCAACGTTGGAGTTGAACCGAAAGGAAGCCCCTTCCCTTCCCCGCTGAGGGGGGGGGTGTCGGGGGGGAGGTCCCAGGGGGGGAGGATCCGGGGGGGGGTCCTTGGGGGGTCCGGGGTGGTCCCGGGGGAGGGGTCCCGGGGGGGCCCGGAACGTCTGAAGCTGCTGCATAGCTTTATAAGCACCGGAGCGGCTCACACTTTCTGCGATGGGATCCGTTATCTTGGTCACTTGCTTCATCGTGTCCGTTTGAACATCCATTTGGCCTTCCAGAAGTTCAGTTATCACATGCAACTGTGTGGCTTCACCCTCGGCAAACCTGTTTCGATTAACCATGTTTTGCAGCAGCGAGTTAACCTTCTGGGTCATCAGTAATAACTTATACTTTCTTCAATAGTAACGTTTCTTACCCCCGCTGCTGGTTGCCTTTTTCCCTCATGCCCTCACAGTTGGCTCTGCCTGCCACTCTCACATAACTTAGCGTAGCCCCCATGATAATGCGCCATGTCGCATAGCTCAGTAAGTGCGCGCCGGGTTTAGGTTAAGCCACTGACCTCTGTCCTGCGGTGTATGTGACTCCGGTAGGGGATCGCCTGCTGCAGATGGAGCAGCAGCTGCGGCTGTTGCAGATGCCATCAATCTCGCCCCGCTACCATGCAAATCCTAGAGAAAGAACTGCACGGAAACTATTTGATGATTCTACCCCGTGGGCTAAAAGGCGCGCGCTCCACAGGTTAAATACTTGAGCCAAACGGAATCGGTAACGACGGCCACTCGACTCTCAGGACCAGCTTTGCTTCTTACCCTGTCGTAACGGCATGTTCTAACATCCTCATCTCCTCCCCCTCCTCCTCCTCCTCCTCCGCCTCCTCCTCCTCCTCCCCCTCCTCCTCCTCCTCCTCCGCCTCCTCCTCCTCCTCCTCCTCCTCCTCCTCCTCCTGCTCCTCCTCTTCTCCTCCTCGACATCGTCAGCATCGTCGTCATCACCAGCATCATCAGCATCATCAGCATCCTCATCCGCATCCTCATCCTCATCATCATCATCATCATCATCATCATCATCATCATCATCATCATCAGCAGCAGCAGCAGCAAGAACATCATCAGCAGCAGGCAGCACCACCACCATCGCTTCCACCACCACAACAACCCCCACCATCATCATCATCATCATCATCATCATCATCATCATCATCATCATCATCATCATCATCAGCATCATCATCATCATCAGCAGCAGCATCATCATCATCATCATCATCATCATCATCATCATCATCATCATCACCATCACCATCACCATCACCATCATCATCAGCATCATCATCAGCATCATCATCAGCATCATCAGCATCATCAGTATCATCATCATCATCATCATCATCATCATCATCATCATCATCATCATCATCATCATCATCATCATCATCATCATCTGCAGCAGCATCAGCACCTGCATCATAATCAGCAGCATCACCATCATTCTCATCATCAGCATCCTCATCATCATCCTCATCATCATCCTCATCATGATCATCATCATCATCAGCATCATCATCATCATCATGTTCATCATCAGCATCATCATCATCAGCATCATCATCATCATCATCATCATCATCATCATCATCATTATGATCATTATCACCATCATCATCATCATCATCATCATCAGCAGCAGCATCAGCATCAGCATCAGCATCAACAATAACAGCAGCAGCGTCATCACCATGAGCATCATCAGCATCATCATCAGCAGCAACACCAGCAGCAGCGTCATCATCCTTCGCCCTCCTTCCGCACCATCCAAATCCCCTGGCCCCTCGTTGGCACCAGGGTGGGGGGCGGGGATGGAGAGGGGGAACCGGGGGGACTTGACAGGTGGACCGCGACGATGGCCTCCGGGGCAGCACTGCCTGTGCGCCGGCGGGGGGGGGGGCCTCGGGCCAAAAAGGCTGCTGGAAGGGGAGGGGAGCGGCAGGGACCCTGACATGCTTGCGTTTATGTTTATATATATATATATATGTACAAACAAACAAACAAACAAACAAACAAACGACAGGTGGTTTTCGACATTGTTCGGCTTCCAGGGGACCCTACTGGGCCGCAGGATCGTCAAAAAACGGCCCTGGGGAACGGGTCGGGTCGGGACTTCCAAGGATCCCAAATTGGCAAAAACCGCACGTCGGACGTCTGGGGAGGAAAGACGAGCACAGCCGGAGGAAGAGGCCGAGGATGAGAAGAGGGAGGCGGCCCCGGCAACCGCGGCACCACCACTGGGGGAGGAGGGAGGACAGAGAAGGAAGAAACTAATGGGAGAAGCGAGGAGGACGGAAGGGGGGAGGAGGGGCGGGGAGGACGCAGAAGGGAGGAATGAGCAAAGATGACAGAGGAGGAAACGGCGGAGGACAGAGGAGTGTGGGGAGATCCTTGGTCAAGAGCCAATCTCTGGCTCGCAAGCGCATGCGCCACCCAGTTCTGGCGCTCTCCCAGGACGCAGGCAAGGGCAATGACGGGCACTGCGAGGACGGGTCTGCGACCAGAGGCAGGGCCACGGGCAGCCCTGAGATCCAGCGCCTCGACAAACATCGAAACATGGTGAAAAGCACAAGATGTCTCTACAGTTTTCCACCGGATCGATCTGTGAGCGTGCCAGGGCCCGAAACCGGGCGAACGCGCCCAGCTCGACAAGACTGAGCTGCAATGATCTCATGGAAAGACGGGGGCCCGCCTGACCAGAAGCGCCTCGGGGCCTGCTGCGGCGGCCGTCCAAGATCGGGCCCTTCGGGCCCCGAGTCGGGTCAGCTGCTGGCGCCGCCGCGGCTCGGCGGGAAGGGCCACTCCGAGGCCCCGGTCCCATCCTGCGACCAGGCCGCTCCAGCCCTCCCTGGCCGAAGGTCTCTGGCCCAGCTCGCGCCGATCAGGCGACCCGGGACATGTCCTCGCCACTGCTCGGGCGTCCATTCCCCGTGCGCCGTTCGATGTCGTGCGATTGCCTTGTCGCGAGATGATCCAAGCCGAGATGCACATGCACATGTCCGAGCGATGCCGAGCGACTGTGCCTGAGGGGGGAGGCCCCAGAGCGGCGTCGGCGGCAGAGAAGCCGCTGGCAATTCGCCCATGACCGGCGCCCGGCGCCATTCTCAGGGGAACCTGGCGGTCCTCCCCCTTCACCCTCCCCTCGATCCTCTCCCTCCACCCCCCTCCCTCTGTCCCTTCAGTTCCACCCCCCCCCCGCCGTCCTCCTCCGTGTCGCCTCCCTCCCCGTCTCTCCACCCAAGATTTCAAGGCGAATCCAGCCGTGGCCATCGACGAGGGACGGATAGCGGCATCGGTGCCTGTAATTACGTCCTCTGACCAGTGCTGATCCACACATCTGGCGTCTCGATTTGTTCGAAGCACGGGCCCCCGACCTTCAAGGGGCCCAAGGACACACAAATAAATACACACAAATAAAGATACTCCCAATATTTTCCCATATATTCTGGGTTTTGGCCTTCCCGTCCAATTCCAATATTTTCCTGTATTTTCTTGGGGATCGACGATTAATTGTGTCTGTGTGTTTTTTTCCCTCCTGAGACCTCCCGACCACCTCCCCGGGACGGGCTTTTCGTCCCGCGAGCCGTTTTGTTGACGTCCCCGAGGCCTGGTGGGAGGGCCACGAGAGGCCGAGAACCAGGAGAAAAGCCTCAGTTCCGATGTTCTCGAGGCGCTGGATGCCTCCCCAGACCCCCGACGCCATCTGTTTTTTGAGGTCTCGATCGAGACCTCAAAAAACAGATGGCGATCGAGACGCGGTTTTTTGATGTCTCGATCGAGACATCTGTTTTTTTGAGGTCTCGATCGAGACCTCTGTTTTTGAGGTCTCGATCGAGACGCGGTCCTGGGGAATGGGTCGACCCATTCCCCAGGAACGGCTTTCCATCCTGAGTTGCTTTTGACGGCGCCGAGGCCTGGTGAGGGCCCTCTGAGGCCGAGAATCATGAAAAGCCGCCCGTCGTGATTTTGTTCATGACTCCAGGGCGGTCCAGGCCTCCATGCGGCCGCGGCCGAGGGCGCGGGGGATCCTGCGACAGCATGGAGCCGTACACGAAGACTGGCCCCCAGTCGCCGCCGGCGGCCCTGCCGACCTCCTCGCGGGCGGGCTCTCCAGAGGCACGGGGCGGGCCAAACCAGCCCGCCTCCCCCGGCAGGCCTCCTCCGAGAGCCGCGGCGACAGCACGGCGGGCCTCCCCAGACCTCCCGCATCTCGGAAAAATGGAGGAGGCGTGGACTCTGACGCGTGCTCGGCCCCCGGGGCCCGTGCCGAGCTTCGGGGCCATCCATTGATGCGGGACAGAAAAATGACCACAGCCACTGCTTCTTGTTTGCGCCGCCTTCCAGCCGGCCGAAAAAGAAGCAGTGGTTGTGGTCATTTCCCTGGTGCCAAGCTTAACGAAAATGACCACAACCACTGCTTTGTTTCTGCTGGCTGGAAGGCGGCAGCAAAAGAAAAGCAGTGGCTGTGGTCGTTTTCGCGCCCCGTAATTGAGCAGGGACCGACCGTCCCAGCATTTCTATAGGCCTGCCACAGAAGGTTCTCAGAACCCCAAAAAATGTTCTAAGAACAAAAACAATGTTCCTAGAACGTAAGCCCGATGTGCTAAAACAAGACAACCCCGGCCAGAAATGTTCTAAGAACATTTCGTGGAAACCACAGAAGGTTCTCAGAACATTGTTCGGTAGGCTTACGTAGGCGAGCCAGGACGCCTCGCTACTGCTTGAGAAAGACTGGTCCTGGGGCACTTGTCGAGAGGTCAGGGGCCCGTGCCTCGAAGAAGCGAGACGCCGGATACCTGGGGCCCCCCGGCGGGCCTCCTCCGGGCGCCGCGCCGCCATCACGGCGGGCGCCTCTCGGCAGCGCCCCGGGCCACCCAGCTCCGCGCCGCGCGCCGAGAGCGATGCGCGGCGCGCGGTGATCTTCTCGCGCCCTCGTGCCGCCGCCCCGGAGCAGGGCACCGTCGCGGCCAGCGAGCGCTGTTTAGGGGGCCTGCCGCATCCGGCCGGCTCCCCCTCCCCCTCCCCCTCCTCCTCCTCCCTCCTCCTCCTCCTCCTCCTCCTCCTCCTCCTCCTCCTCCTCCTCCTCCTCCTCCTCCTCCTCCTCCTCGGATCAGCACTGGGCTCCTTCCGACCCATCCAGCCGCTCCTCGGCGCGGACGAGCGGGGGAAGGACAGCAAACCCAGACATCCAGCGTCGCGACGTTTTGAAGAAGCGCGGGCCCGAACTCTCGACCACTTCCCCAGGACCGGTGTGTCGTCCCGAGTCGACTGATTTTTGACGGTCCGGAGGCTTGGTAAGGGCCCAGACAAAACGAGAATTATGAAAACCTCCGTCTCGATTCTTGCGAGACGCCAGATGTCTGGGGAGAGAGAGAGAGAGGAGGCAACGATGCGGGAAGAAAAAGTTGGATGCGGAAAGGGCGGGTCACGACAATTGCTGCCTGCTGCGTGCGGCTGGCTTGGGCTCCGCCGTCGCGCGCTTCTCTCGATTCGTGGCCGCCCCTGGCGCCGAGCGGCGCCAACGAAATAGGCAGCTGCTTCGCTGGCCCCCCATTCTCAGACATCTGGCGTCTCGAAACAAATCGAGACGGAAGTTTCTCACCGTTTTCGGCCTCTCGGGGCCCTTACTCGGCATCCCAGGGTAGTGGTCGAAAGGTCGGGTGCCCGTGTCTCGAAAAAACGCGACGCCGGATGTATGGGTCTCTCTCTCTCTCTGTCTAGTTTTTTTGTTTCTCTCTTTCTCACTTTCTCTCTCTCTCTCTCTCTTGCTTGCCGTTGCCCCTGCCAGTCCTCCCCTCCACCCCACGCCCCCTCCTGAGCGTCATAAACAAGCGAGCGAAGCTGCACGCTTTGCCTCCAAGAGGCCTCAGATTCGCTCCGAGGCGGCTCCAGGTGACCACGGAGGTTCTCCAAAAGTCCCCCAAGAGGCCCCCAAACATAGCCCAAGAGGCTCCCAAGAGAGCCCCAAGAAGAGCACCAGAGCGTCAGGCGTCGTCGTCGCCACCTCCGCCGCCGCCGCCGCCGCCGCCGCCGCCGTCGTCGTCGTCGTCGTCGTCGTCCCCCTTCAGGGTCGGAAGCACCAGCCGTAAGGCCTTCCCGATATTCCAATCCGTACGGAGGAGGTGGGGCATTATCTACAGCAGAGCCTCGGGTGTCCCAAAACCAACCCCACCTGCGCCCTCCCCCCCATGACACTGTCGGACCCCTTCGCAACAGGCATCATCCCCCAGGCCTCAGACCTTCCAAGACCTTGCCATGATGCCCCAGTCCGTTATGCCGCCGTTGATAACATGAGCAGAAATCGAACGCCTTTGCACTAAGATGCCCAGAATCTGCCAGGTAGACGTTGTGTTCAAAGTATGGTTGCTCCATCTTGGAGGCGGCCGGGAAGTCTGAGCTGAATAAGAGCAGAGAGAATCCGTCGAGAGTGGAGATGAAGGCAAACTCACTCAAAATTGGTCCCCACCCCTGCCAGGGTTTACCAGCCTGGAACAGATCCCTATCTCTATGTTCGACATCGCCTCATCACGATGGCGATCTTAGGGATTCCCTTAGTTTCTGAGGGTGCATCCCTAAGATTGTCAACGCCTTTTGGCGTGTCGATCTCAGGGATAGGGATAAGTTCGAGGCTGGTGAAGGGTCGAAATTGGCAAGTCCTTCGAGCCGCGTCCAGCCGTGGCGACGAGGGGCCCCTTTCTCCTGCCTGCCGGCTGGCCAGAGCCAGCGCTGGGCCACCTCAGCCGCCCAGCCAGCTCCAAGTTGATTCTCCTCCTCCTCCTCCTCCTCCTCCTCCTCCTCCTCCTCCTCCTCCTCCTCCTCCTCCTCCTCCCCTCCTCCTCCTCCTCCCCTCCTCCTCCTCCTCCTCCTCCTCCTCCTCCTCCTCCTCCTCCTCCTCCTCCTCCTCCTCCTCCCCCCCCTCCTCCTCCTCCTCCTCCCCTCAGACCTCGGACGTCGCGACATCTTCGTGACGAGGGCCCCCGGTGCCCCCGACCCCGCGTCCCAGGCGGCTGGTCGCCACGGGTCGACCCATCGATGGCCCGCGGGGGCCCGAGGGAGGCCCCCCCGGGGGCCGAGGCCGCCGAGGGGCGCTCGCCATGATCTTGCTCCCGGCGCCTGGACATGCGGGCGCCCGTGCGCCGCTTCCTTTTCCGGCGGCGGGCCACGGGGAGAGGGCAGAAGGGGGCCGGCCTTCTCAGAAGGCCTGCCCCCTCGAACTTTTCCCTGAGGCTCACCGCCGACTGTTTCGCCCCAGAGCTCTCCACTTGAGCGACGGAAAGTAACGGGCCTTACGCGAGATGATGGTACAGCGACCTGACGCGGTGGCCCACGCGAGCCGCCATCGTGGCACGCCACTGTGGAAACGAGAGCGCTCACGCGCGACGTCACGCGGGCAGCTCACGCGCCAATGCCGGCGCAGTCGACCCCGGTCTCCTCCTTCGTTCACTTCCCTCCCCCCAGGCCCGTCTATCGCCCCGCGTCGCCTACCTGTGGGCGGCCCCGTGCCCCGAGGGCGCCGCTTCGAAGCCTGGGTCCTGGATCCTCGAACCCGTGCGTCTCGGCCCCATTTCTCTGCGAGGTGGTGTCTGCTCACGAGGTACGGTGCGGCATTGAATAAGGGACCCTTGGACAAGAAGTCCGAGGTCTGGAAGCCAGCGGAACACCAATTGAGGCTTGGCCACGGATATCACCGCCGCCCTCATCGGATAAGGAACCCTCCGGTGTTGGAAGCCTCCTGGGCACATCCCTTAACAAAGGCCCCCGCCGTGGTTCACCGAGATCGGATGGACCACTCGGAGGTTGCACGCGGGAGCAGCGTACGTTCCAGCGTTCTGCATCGTGCCTTCGCGGTCTGGACTGGACACTGCGGAACTGGCGGCTCGCAACCGATACGTCGCACCCCATGTCGAACCTCGCTCCTCGAACCTGGACGCGAGGGGAAACGATGGGGGACCAGACCAGTCCAGGGCGGAGAGGGGGGGCATCGACCTGGAATCGGCGACACGTCACCGACAGGCACCCCATAGCGAATCCGCACAGTCCTGGGCGGGGGGGGGACTGTCGAGCCCCTATCGGCGATCAGTGGGCGATTGGGGGTCAATGCATTCCCCCCCATGAGTCTACGGATCCCCCCTTGCGTCGGGCACACGCAACCACGGATTAGGGATCTGTGGATCTTGCGCGATGGCGTCAGTTCCGTGGATCGGGGAAGGCACGCGGAAACATGAGGCCAGTGCCACCTGATTCGGCAACAGAACGCGCCGATTATATATGGAAACGCGACCCGTCGCTAACCCTCAGGCCTAAATTCATGTTTGCGCTTCCTCGATAGCGTTGCCCCTGAGGACGTATCGGCTCCCCCACTTCCCCCCCCGGATCAGTCAACATCGCGAATCGGCAAACCGGATCGATTCGAAATGTGCATCGGATCGGGCTGCAACGGCAGAGAACCAAAATCGAATCGGTTCGGCTGCAGCAGTATGCACGACAGCGCCATGCAGGCATCGAGCCGAATCGGAGCCTCAAAAACATGAGGCGCACTGGATATGGATTAAAATCTGGCCCCAGAAGGCTAGATTTTATCCATATCCAGTGCGCCTCGGCCTTGCGGCGCCCCTTCCAAGAAATCCAAGACGCACTGGAGATGGATATAAGTATTGCCCGCGCCTGCCCCCCAGTCCTGGGCGACGATGGCCTCCTTCTCCTGCTCGCTCAGGCCCGGCGCCGGCGGCGGAGGCCTCCTGGCCCTGGCGGCCGCGGCCACGCGGGCGGCCGCCTGGCTGCGGGAGGGCGCGCTGCCTCGCCCCCCGCCTCCCTGCACAGGGCGGCGGCGGCCCGCACACAGCCAGGCAGCCTCCTTGCCCCAATATGAGGGAAGGAGGGGGAGCGAGAAGGAGGAGGAGGAGGAGGAGGATCGAGATAAGGAGGAGGAGGAGGAGGATCGAGATAAGGAGGAGGAGGAGGAGGAGGAGGAGGATCGAGATAAGAAGAAGGAGAAGGACCAGTGTAAACCCAGAACCCATCAACGATGTTGGAACACACCATCCCTCCAAGCTCCCTCTTCTTAAGCCCCTACAAGGGTTCATGTCCACTGAGGGAAATGCCCCGTGGGGGGACGACCGTGTGAAAATTCTGAAGCGTGCCAAAAAACCATTCTCAGGATTTCAACGCCACGATTCAACCTGACGATCCTGGGACGACCCTGAATAGCGCCAGAACGCCATTCCTTGGACTTCAACACCGTGAATCGAAGTAACTGCTGCGCCCTGCTAATCCTGAATCCTTCCAAAACACAAATTCTGGTACGTCAACCATGAAAATATTAAAACGAGTACGCGCGGCGCTAAAGCGAGAGCCACATTTTGAAGAAAAGCCACCCTCTGTTTGAAACGAATGTGCGCGGCGATAGGGCGAGAACCAAATGTTGAAAACGAACCGCCTTCAATCCGCGAAACTATTGCACATGTACAAAATGAATGTGCGCGGCGCTAAGGCGAGAACCACATATTGAAAACGAACCGCCATCTATTCGTGAAACTCTTGCAACTGTTTGAAATGCGCTAGACGGAAGCCACATTTTGGAAGCGGCCCGCGCTCCATGTGTGAAACTATTGCCTGTTTGGAAGCATCAAGCTCATGAATGGCAAAGACGTCTTAAGCGAAACAACCGGCCCGCCCTTCCGACTGGCCTCGGGGTGCGACAGGGAGGAGCCATTCACATGGAAAAGGAATGGAGGAGGGAGGAGGAGTAAGAGGAGGAGGAGGAGGAGGAGGAGGAGGAGGAAGAGGAGGAGGAAGAGGAGGAGGAGGAGGAGGAAGGAGGAGGAGGAAGGAGGAGGAGGAGGAGGAGGAGGAGGGAGGGGAGGAGGAGGAGGGAGAGGAGGAAGGAGGAAGGGGAGGAGAAGAAGGAGGAGGAGACGGAGGAGGAGGGGAGGCTGGCGCTTGGCACTGGGGTCTGCGCCGACATCCATCCGAAGAGCTCCAGGGCCGCGCACGAAGGAGGAGGAGGAGGACGACGAGGAGGACGAGGAGGAGGAGGAGGAGGAGGAGGACGAGGAGGAGGAGGAGGAGGACGAGGAGGAGAAGGACGAGGAGGACGTGGAGGAGGAGGAGGAGGAGGAGGAGGAGGAGACCCGCCCCCTGAAGCGCGCTGAGTCTGCGTCTGAGCGCCTCGCCAAAGCACCCTCACACAGCGAGAGCCTGTACTCTCGCCGACCGCTTCGCGGTGAAACGCATACGGCCTTCGAGGTACTGTGCCCCGACCCACTGAGAGAATATATCCCACGCTCGCACATGTAAAGCTAACAGGAACTGAGTCAACAGCCACAGCGACAACCTAGAAATTCCCAGAAGATTCGAACGGTAAAGGGCAGAGATCGAAACAGACTTTAGGGCCATATGCACCCAACCAGTCTGAAAGAGGAAGGGAGGCGCTTCACTACAGGTACTACGTGAGGACAACCGAAATAATGTAGAATACGGTCTTGTCCATCACATCGGAAACGACATAGTTCAGCAGCTTGGCGATACCGACACGACGTAATCATATCATTGCATATGTACTTTAACCGGCTCAAACCGATGAAGCACGGGAAGAGGTTGCCGAGGGTGCGCACACGCACGGTGATTGTAGAGATCTGGTCAGGCGTGGCGCCCGCGTGTCAATACATGAGACGGCGTCCAGCCATCCCCTGCAGACACGGAAGGGGGACATAGTTGTACATCTCTCAACCATTTACCGAAGCGGAAAACACGATAGTTCCACCTCCACCCCATAACTAAATCATCTCCCTCCAAAACCTCTCTTAAATCCCGTTTACACTCCCAGAACTTCGGTGACCTTGCAGCATTACGAGAAAGAGCAGCTCGACCTTCGCGAACAGGAAAATGAAGAAGAACAAGAAAGAGAAGAACAATCAGATAATCGAGGTAAGGATGAGGAAGAGGTGGCGGAGGAGGGGAGGGGAGGAGGGCAAGCTAGGTGAGCTCGCGTCATATCTGACGTCCTACCCCTCCTTCCCATCCCTTACCATCTCGTAGAAATCCTTTCTATTCGCACAGTCGGATGTCGAGCAGGGCATTGATCGCGCGAGGGTATACAATGCATGGTAGATCACGGCATGGCATGGCGTAGACGAGCACGACAGAGCGTAGCATGACATTGCATGGCGTGGCATTGCGCAGTTGAAGCATTGCACCACAAAGCATTGCAACGCAAAGCATGACATCGCACAGCGGCGCATAACACAACACCGCACAACATGTCATGGCATGGCGCCGGGTTACTTGGAGGGTAAATGGGCCGACCGTCTTCGAGAGGTCTGAGCCGGTCTGGAGTCGTGGATCCATGTCTACCCCGGGGAGTTCCCGAAAAGCTCCACACCAGGCGGGGCTGATGGAGAGAACCCGCTGGCTCTGCTTTCAACATCATCGTCTCAAATCAGAAACGGGGCTCCCGCTTGAGACTTCCTGAAAACGAAGACGCCCCAGAGTGAGGGGGGCTTCTGCGGCCCAAAAAATCAGCAAATCGCCATCGAATGTGGAATCACTTCCAATGTTTTTTCGGGGAGGGGGGGGAGCTTTTTGTAAATTGTGGGGCCGATTTGGAAGGACCGAAAACGCCCGCGCTGCAGCGGGAGCACGATATGGAACGACCAGAGGCGCAGAAATGGGGCTAGCGCTTCAACGGGAGCACCATTTGTTGAAGGAGAAAAAAACATACAAAAAACTCCTGTGAACCCTGGCGTGTCGCTAAGCGGCCCCGGCGGAACGCCATGCCCTGCAAGCGGCCAGCCTGTCGCTCCGCTCCGCGGGGGGGGGGGGGCTGGGAGAAGCTCGGTGAAAGGGGCCCCAGGACACACAAATAAATTCACACAAATTAAAAAGATTCCCCATATGTTCCTATATTTTCTGGGTTTCTGTCTTCCCCCCCACTGCCCATATTTTCCTATACTTTCTGGGGAAACGACGGTTAATCGTTAATCGTGTCTATGTGTGTGTGTGTGTTTTTCCCCTCCTGATCTGTCCCCAGGGCCAGTGCCACATCCCGAGCCCGTCTGTGACGGCCCCAGGAGCGTCAAGACGCCCCCCCCGCAGGCCGAAGACAACGAGCAGCACCGACCCTCGGGGAAGGCCAAAGTCCGGCCGAGCCCTTCCGTGACGGCCCCAGGAGCGTCAAGACGCCCCCCGCAGGCCGAAGACGACGAGCGACATCTGCCGTCGGGGAAGGCTGGAAGTCCAGCTGCAGGCCCCCCAGACGGAGCCGTCTGTCTGCGACGGGACTTGCCCCGACAAGCCCAGGCAGTTCCTCGGAGCCTAGAGGGCGGCGCCCGCCCTCCTCCTCCTCCGCATCCTCCCGCCCCCATACCCCTGAGGCGCTGAGGCACTGATGGCAGCAAAGCCTCCAGACGCAGCCATGCCCCCTCCCCCTCCTCCTCCCTCTCCCCAGACCTCCGACGCCGTGGTGATCCCACAGCCGTGGACCCCCAGAGGCCAGGACCCGCTCCCTACGGCCAGCTGCTCCTCCCGGACCGTCTTCGGAAGGCCCACGGAGGCCCAACTGTTGCTCCCACGGAGGCCGAAAATTTGAAAGCCCTTCCGCCACGACACTCTCCGGGGTCTGGCTTCTCGTGTGTTTTTGCTTGTGTCTGTGTTTTGTGTGTGCTTGTGTTTTTTTATGTTTGTTGTTAATTTGTTTGTGTTTTTGTTCCCCCACAGTGTGTGTTTTTTGTCATCGCTCGGGCCTCTGGCGGCCATACCGGACGACTCGGGCAGCCCCGGAAGAACGCTCTCGGCGAGGCGCAGCCGCTGGAGCGCGGTCCCCTCGGCGACGGCAGTCGTCCGCGGTGGCGGCCCGCGACGGCGGCGGGCGCCGCTCGCCTTCTGCTTCAGCAGCGCGTCGAGCGTGGAGCCCGCGCCGTCCGGGGGCATGGCGCGCGCCGCCCCGCCGCGCGGGGGTGCGGGGCGGGGACTTCTCCCCAACCACCGCCTGCGGGAGCGATCTTCGGGGGCCTCGAGGGGCGGTGGACACGGGGATGGATCGATATGTGTGTGCGTGTGTGCGCACGTGTGTATGTGCATGCGTATGTATACGTGTACGTGTACGTGTACGTGTACGTGTACGTGTACGTGTACGTGTACGTGTACGTGTACGTGCACGTGTACGTGTACGTGTACGTGCACGTGTACGTGTACGTGTACGTGTACGTGCACGTGTACGTGTACGTGTACGTGTACGTGTACGTGTACGTGTACGTGTACGTGTACGTGTACGTGTACGTGTACGTGTACGTGTACGTGTATGTGTACGTGTACGTGTACGTGTACGTGTATGTGTACGTGCATATGTGCGTGCATGTGTATGTGTATGTGTGCGTGTATGTGCATGTGCATGTGTATGTGCAAGTGTATATGTATGCATGTGCGTATGCGCAAGCGTATGCGTCCCTGCCTGTGTCTGTGCCTGTGCCTGTGTCTGTGTCTGTGTCTGCGTCTGAGTCTGTGTGTGCGTGTGTGCAGGTGTGTGTGTGTGTGCGTGTGCGTGTGTGCGTGTGCGTGTGTGTGTCTGTGTGTGCGGGTGCGTGTGGGTGTGCGTGTGCGTGTCTGTGCGTGTGCGTGTGTGTGTGTGTGTGTGTGCGTGTGTGTGTGTGTCTGTGTGTGCGGGTGCGTGTGTGCGTGTGTGCGCGTGTGGGCGTGCGTGTGTGTGTGTGTGTGCGTGTGTGCGTGTTCGTGTGTGTGTATGCGTGTGCGTGTGCGTGTGCGTGTGTCTGTGTGTGATGTGTGGTGCGTAGAGTGTAGTGTAGTGCAGCGTAGCGTAGTGTAGTGTAGTGCAGTGTAGCGTGGTGTAGTGTAGTGAAGCGTAGTGTAGTGTAGTGTAGCGTCGCGTAGTGTAGTGTAGTGTAGTGTGTGTGTGTGTGTGTGTGTCTGTGTGTGTCTGTGTGTGTGCACCTGTGTGTTGGGTGTGTGTGTGTCTGTGTGAGTCTATGTGTGTGTCTGTGTCTGTCTGTGTGTGTCTGTGTGTGTGTTTGTGTGTGTCTGTGTGTGTCGGTGTGTGTCTGTGTGTGCGTGTGTGTTGTGTGTGTTTCTATGTGTGCGTGCATGCCTGCGTGTGTGTGTGTGTGTGCGTGTGTGTGTGTGTGAGTGTGTGCGTGCGTGCGTGCGTGCGTGTGCGTGTGGGTGTAGGTGGGTGTGGGTGTGGGTGTGGGCGTGTGTGGGTGTGTGGGTGTGTGGGTGTGTGGGCGTGTAGGTGTGAGGGTGTTGGGGTGTGGTTGTGTGGGTGCGTGCGTGCGTGCGTGAGTGCGTGCGTGTGGGTGCAGTGTAGTGTAGTGTCGTGTCGTGTTGTGTAGTGTAGTGTGTGTGTGTGTATGTGTTTGGGTGTCTGTGCGTGTCTGTGTGTGGCTGTGTGTCTGTGTGAGTCTATGTGTGTCTGTGTGTGTGTGCGTCTGTGTGTGTGTCAGTGTGTCCGTGTGTGTGTGTCGGTGTGTGTGTGTGTGTCTGTGTGTGCTTGTGTGTTTGTATGCATGTGTGTGTGTCTATGTGTCTGCGTGCGTGCGTGCGTGCGTGCCGGTGTGTGTGTGTGTGTCTGTGTGTGCGTGCGTGCGTGCGTGCGTGTGGGTGTGGCATCAGCATCAACATCGTCGTCGTCGTGGTCGTCGACAGCATCATCATCATCATCAGCAGCAGCAGCATCATCAGCATCATGTTCATCATAATCATGAGAATCATCATCAGCATCATCATCAACCACATCATCACCACCACCACCATCATCACCATCAACAGCAACATCAGCAGCATCACCACTCATCAACATCGCTATCATCATCATCATCATCATCATCATCATCATCATCATCATCAGCAGCAGCAGCATCAGCATCATCAGCATCATCCCCCATCTCATCACTTCTCTCACAAGCCTGGGGACCCGAGGTGTCACATGCGACGGCCTCCTGTGCCTCCTCGAACAGTCGCCACCCAGAATGCTGGGCTGGCACGGTGGCGGAACTTGCAGCAAGCAGCTTGATCTGATGTGTTCATCCTGACGTTTTCTCTCGATTTCGGCCTCTGGGACCCGTCATCGGAACCGGGAACAAAAAAATGAATCCGGGACGAAAAACCTGGGGCCGTGTGTGTGTGTGTTTGTGTGTTTGTGTGTGTGTCTGTGTGTGTGCGTGCGTGCGTGCGTGCGTGCCAGTGTGTGACTGTGTGTGTCTGTGTGTGCGTGCGTGCGTGCGTGCGTGCGTGCGTGTGGGTGTGGCATCAGCATCAACATCGTCGTCGTCGTGGTCATCGACAGCATCATCATCAGCAGCATCATCAGCAGCAGCAGCGTCGTCATCATCATGTTCATCATCATCATCATAATCATCATCATCATCATCAGCATCATCATCAGCATCATCATCAACCACATCATCACCACCACCACCATCACCATCACCATCAACATCAGCAGCATCATCACCACTCATCATCATCATCATCATCATCATCATCATCATCATCATCACCACTCATCATCATCATCATCATCATCATCATCATCATCATCATCATCATCATCATCATCATCGTCGTCGTTATCATCATCATCATCATCATCATCATCATCATCAGCAGCAGCAGCAGCAGCAGCAGCAGCAGCATCATCCCCCATCTCATCACTTCTCTCACAAGCCTGGGGACCCGAGGTGTCACATGCGACGGCCTCCTGTGCCTCCTCGAACAGTCGCCACCCAGAAGCTGGGCTGGCACGGTGGCGGAACTTGCAGCAAGCAGCTTGATCTCATCCTGACGTTTTCTCTCGATTTCGGCCTCTGGGGCCCGTCATCGGACCCGGGAACGAATCCGGGACAAAAGATCGTCCCTATGCAAGGGGTCGGGTCCTCTGGGGCCGCGCATTGGAAAAATTTGATCGTCGCATGTCTGGGAACGCGTGTTAGCGCCAACGTGTGTTTGTCCACCTAAGCCATTGAAGGCGGCACAGGGGTGTACCTACAGCGAGGGATGACACAGGCTGCGTGCGATCAGTGGAGCTGAACAGGGTGAACAACAGTGGGCTAACACACACACAGTCACACACACACACACACACGTCCTGGGGATCATCGGCCTGAAGACAAGCGGCACCTGCGAGACTTCGGGACTCTGCCCGCTTTAGCCACAATGGCTTCGTAGGGCGAGAATATCCGTACATACACACCGCCCCGTATGCACCGATCTTGGGCCAGGATGAGCCAGACCAGGATCAGTATGCTGGCCAGTTGACGTCCCCTGCAGCAGCGCCTGCAGGACTTTGGCCGCTTAAGGAGGGACAACAAAAAATCTACGAATCTGTCCCGGGGCAAGTTCGAGGGCCCCCAGAGGCCGAAAACGGCAAAACACCCACCGCTCCAATTTCGAACGCCTAATCCTAATCCTGACCCTAGCCGAAACACCTAATCCTAACAACTAACCGTAACACCTACTCCTAACACCTAACCCTGACCCTAGCACAACCCTAACCCCTAACCCTTACCCTAACCCTGTATCCTATGCCTAACCCTAACCCCTAAACCGTGACCCCTAACCCTAACCCTAACCCGAACGCTAACCCTGACCACTAACCCTAACCCTAGCCCTAAGCCCTAACCTCTACCATGACCCTTAACCCTAAACCCAAACTCTTAATTATCACCCTAACCCTAGCCCTAAACCCTACACCCATCCCACGCGCCACGGCGTCAGAGTGGAGTGATTAAGAAGTGCGCTTGTGGATCTCTTCACCCTGCGCTAACCCGAACCCCAACCTCTAACCCCTACCTATACGACCACCCTTCGGGTGATGAGGAGGTTCGGGGGGGGAGGAACTAAGGTTTCACTCGATCGGTCTCACTATCGATCTCACTATCGGTTTCGTTCGATCGATCTCATTCGATCGATCTCACAATCGATCTCACTCGATCTATTTCATGCGATCGATCTCACAATCGATCAGACTAACGATCTCACAATCACTATCACTATCGATCTCACTATCGATCTCACAATCGATCTCACATTCGGTTTCACTATCGATCACATTATCGATATCACAATCGATCTCACAATCAACGTCATCATCATCATCATCATCATCAGCATCATCATCATCATTATCAACATCATCGTCATCAACGTCATCAACATCATCATCATCATCATCATCATCATCATCATCATCATCATCATCATCATCATCATCATCATCATCATCATCGGGACACCATCATCATCACCTCATCACCAGCATCAGCAACATCATCATCATCACCATCATCATCATCGGGACACAAGCATCGTCACCATCATCATGAACCTCATCATCATCGGGACACCACCATCATTACCATCATCATCATCGGAACACCACCATCAGCATCAACATCATCGGCACCATCATCATCTCATCATCATTATGAACAACATCATCAACATCATCATCACCATCGGGGCACCATCATCAGCAATATCATCATCATTGACATCATCATCAGCATCGGGACACCATCATCATTGGGACACCATCATCACCGTCATCATCATCGGGGCACCATCATCATCATCAACATCAGCATCATCATCACCATCATCCGGCCATCATCATCAAAATCATCATCATCATCATCGTCATCATCATCATCATCGGGACACCATCATCGTCATCACCATCATCAACATCATCATCACCGGGACACCATCATCATTACCATCATCATCAACAGCAGCATCAACCTCATCATCATCATCATCATCATCATCATCATCATCGGGACACCATCATCATCACCATCATCGTCAGATAAGCATCATCACATCATCAACATCATCAGGATCACCAACATCATCATCAGCATCATCATCATCATCATCATCATCATCATCATCATCATCATCGGGACACCATCATCATCAAAACAATATCAAGAACATCATCAACATCATCATCACCGGGACACCACCATCGTCCCCACCATCACCATCCTTATCAT